GCCGTGTTGACGGGAAGGTGTGAGTGGTTATAGTGTACACTGGCCTCGGTGTCAGGTGAGATGTCATGCCCATGTCATCCTTCAAGCCGATAAGCTAAGGGTTCATCTTATCTCCAACCGCTACGTACTAACCTGACTCGCCTGAATAGCATCCGGGTAGGTACTGTTGTTGTATCACTGTCAATCTTTTAGACATGAATATATAGTTCAACCTGATTTGGCGTGGTTTGTGTGTTGGCTCGGGACTTCTACTATGTGTGTAGTGTAGAGGGCTCTTATACACTGTCTGGGTTTTCAGGCTGGTAGCTGGCCAGGCGACAGCTCTGATCTGTGAATTGTTTTGGGTTTGCTATTGCTCGCTGTGATTAGAGTGCAATCAGATATTGGTGCACATGTGGCGGGACACGATCGACGGAGTGTTGTTCGCCACCCTTTTTTTTGTGGTAGATGGGATCAATGGGAGGTCCGGAATCTGATGTTTTCTTCTCTGTTGGAAAAGGTTTCAAAGAACCGCGCTTACACGCAAACAAACTTAGCCACACCAGGGCTCAACTGTAACATTAGACAAATACGAAAAGGAAGGTTTGAACCACAGATCTGGATGGACACACAGGCTGAGCCGATAGTGAGGAATGGAATCGAGAGCGAAGAGACCGGAGAGGTTGAGGCCAAGACTCAGGCGCAGATCTCAAAATCTGGAGGAGGAAGAGTCATCGTCGTCGCCTGCAATGGCCCGGTAGCGAACCCCCGGTATTGCGATAACCAGGATTATGGACCGCAACAGCTCACGCCAGTGACCAATGTGGTGGAGAAAGCCATGTCGAATGCGGGGCCCAGACGTTGTTCTGAGGTCCGGAGATCGGGCCCCGTCCTTGCAGTGTGCGGCGGATGGTCACGTTTTTAGCGATTTTTGGCAGTAGATTTGCAGCTGAGGGCGATTGCGAATTGGAGGAGCTGCACGTTGGCGGGGTTCCAATAATTTTTCTTTCACCCTCCCCCGGCCGCCGCCCGCGACTGGACCCGCGACTGGGCCCGCGCAGCCACTCAAGTGAATTCCCGTCAGAGGTTGACTGACTGAGTCGAGGTCGCCCAGCAACCCTGGATCTCAGTGCCCCTCCTTCTATATCTCAGTCATCAGTCCCCTCTTCTCTTTTCTTTCCTTTCCTTTCCTCTCGTCTTTCCCTTCTTTCCTTCATCATCCTCAATCCTCACACGGCCTCTCACTTTCTCAGAAGCCAACCCCCCCAAATCAGTCACCATGTCCACCTACTCCCTCTCCGAGACTCACAAGGCCGTACGTGGTAACCCTTCTGCTTCAGATACTCTTTGTGGCCGCATATTGAAGGGACAAACATGTTGACTCATAACCCTACGATATACAGATGCTCGAGCATAGCTTGGTCGAGTCCGACCCCCAGGTCGCCGAGATCATGAAGAAGGAGGTTCAGCGCCAGCGCGAGTCCATCATCCTCATCGCCTCCGAGAACGTCACCTCGCGTGCCGTCTTCGATGCCCTCGGCTCCCCCATGTCCAACAAGTACTCGGAGGGTCTTCCCGGCGCCCGCTACTATGGCGGCAACCAGCACATCGACGAGATCGAGGTTCTCTGCCAGAACCGCGCCCTTGAGGCCTTCCACCTCGACCCCAAGCAGTGGGGTGTCAACGTTCAGTGCTTGTCCGGCAGCCCTGCCAACCTCCAGGTCTACCAGGCCATCATGCCCGTCCACGGCAGACTCATGGGTCTTGACCTCCCCCACGGTGGCCATCTTTCCCACGGTTACCAGACCCCCCAGCGCAAGTGAGTGCCATACTAGCTACTCCAGTTAAACAAGGGCCAAACTAACCCGTCTACCCTCTCCAGGATCTCTGCTGTCTCCACCTACTTCGAGACCATGCCCTACCGCGTCAACATTGACACTGGCATCATTGACTACGATACCCTCGAGAAGAACGCCCAGCTCTTCCGTCCCAAGGTCCTCGTCGCCGGTACCTCTGCCTACTGCCGTCTGATCGACTACGAGCGCATGCGCAAGATTGCCGACTCCGTTGGCGCTTACCTTGTCGTCGATATGGCTCACATTTCCGGCCTCATTGCCTCCGAGGTTATCCCCTCGCCCTTCCTCTACGCCGATGTCGTCACCACCACCACTCACAAGTCTCTCCGTGGCCCCCGTGGCGCCATGATCTTCTTCCGCCGCGGTGTCCGCTCCGTTGACGCCAAGACCGGCAAGGAGACCCTCTACGATCTTGAGGACAAGATCAACTTCTCCGTCTTCCCTGGTCACCAGGGTGGCCCCCACAACCACACCATCACCGCCCTTGCCGTTGCCCTCAAGCAGGCTGCCTCCCCCGAGTTCAAGGAGTACCAGCAGAAGGTCGTTGCCAACGCCAAGGCTCTCGAGAAGAAGCTCAAGGAGCTCGGCTACAAGCTCGTCTCTGACGGCACTGACTCTCACATGGTCCTCGTTGACCTTCGCCCCATCGGCGTTGATGGTGCCCGTGTTGAGTTCCTCCTTGAGCAGATCAACATCACCTGCAACAAGAACGCCGTTCCCGGCGACAAGAGCGCCCTCACCCCCGGCGGTCTCCGTATTGGTACCCCCGCTATGACCTCCCGTGGCTTCGGCGAGGCCGATTTCGAGAAGGTCGCCGTCTTCGTCGATGAGGCTGTCAAGCTCTGCAAGGAGATCCAGGCTTCCCTCCCCAAGGAGGCTAACAAGCAGAAGGACTTCAAGGCCAAGATCGCCACCAGCGATATTCCCCGCATCAACGAGCTCAAGCAGGAGATTGCTGCCTGGAGCAACACCTTCCCCCTCCCCGTGGAGGGCTGGAGATACGATGCTGGTCTCTAAATGTGTTATTCACATAATGAGATTTCCTGAATGTTTTGCGTGGTAATGAGGATATACGGTATATAAGCGTTTGGGGCATTTTTCAACAGCGATGCCAATGGGTCGCGGATATGTTTTTCAACTTTGCATGAGACCCGGAATGAAGACTTGGGGAAAACTAAAAACAGGGTGGTTTAAAAGGGTCACTGGTTTTGCGATCTCAACGATGGATTAGGTTACGGGGAAAAAAAAGTTACTGGGAGTCGGAAAAAATTCACCATATTGCATGCATTTCTAAAGGGGCGTTGCAATTTGGTACTTGGTCCTCAACATGATCATTTCTCAGGACTGCGGAGTTCGGTGGGGATAACTAGTTGTTTTAGACGACTGCTTCAACGCGGTTGGGGGTACAAGTTTTGTACCCTGGATCATAATACACGCAACTATTCTTGCGGCGAACTGAGGATGATGGCCCATGTTGTACATATGTCGGGTTCGTGGTTGTATATGTGTGGATGATGTCTGTGCTCACGCGGGTATTCGTTACGGTATGATAAGAAAAAATCCGGACACGCTTGTACCAAACCAGACCCAGCGATTGTCTAAACCTTTTTCTACACCACTTGGCATGTTAGGGCTTTTACGATGATTCCTTCTGATTTCACGTTGCCCAGGGATACTAGATGGGATTAGATACATGGGATGGATAGATCTACCCGGCTTGCTACCTCTACATACGTATTTGACTTGGAGATAATTTGATTGAAGAAATCTGTGCTGGTCGGGATGAAGTTCGGCAGTGTCTGTGTCTATGTAATGATGTTGTCTTGGTGCGTCCGGACTTTGCTCCGGTCAGTGTGCTTACCGCTACGCCGCTTATCGACTATAAAACATTTACCTCTAGAGGTGTGTCGGTACTTTTCATTTTTGTCGTATTGTATTCCTTTACTGCTTTTTTTTTTTTTTTTTTTTTTTTTTTTTTTTTTTTTCTCACGAGTTTCTGGTCACGCGTCTCTAGGTAGTATCCTTCTTCCCACTGTTTTTTGCCCCTTGTTTCTCTTTTCTGGCTGCTTCACTGTCTTTATTTCTTTTTCTTCTATTTTTCTTCTTTACAATCTTGCTCTTCGCTGCGGAGATGATCACAAGGTACCTAGGGTAGGAATACAGCATGCGCCGAACTAAGTTGACGGTGTAGGACTTCTTCCGAAGGTGCAGTTTAGATAGCGAATATTGAGTGGCTAAAGAATACTCTGCCTATCCCACGCTCCAGCTTCAAATGTATGTGGCCACGACAACACGCGGCCCAACGGTGATGAGACGGTTGGATACTCTCCTATCTTGAAGGCTCAGGAATATGACGGCCTCTGGTACTTCGATGTCAATATGTGAATTTTGGTCCCTGGTATTGGTCGTATGAAAAATAGTTTGCCCAGTCTTTATTTGAATCTGAAGGGTGCTGCCGAAGGTAACCCGCGGGATTGGTGGTTTTGGCATCGGAAGTTGCCTTTTGTTTCCGAGTATCCCGTGGTTGGAACAAATCAAGTGGGAAAGGGGGGGGCGGAGGTAGAGAAGAAGATGGAAAGTATTACAGTTGATAATAGACAAAGGAAAGGCTGTAAGTGGGAAAGTACCTCTGGACGGTTGAAGGCCAGCAAGAGGAAGGTTTCAAGGTCCGGAATGGGTGATATGTAGGTAGCTGCTGTCAGTACCTGGATATCATTTAGGAGAAACAAGAGAGGCGCTCATTGCTTTTGAGGCGGGTGCTGGCTGACTTAGACATAGCAACGGAAATTACATTCAAGTACGCTGTCTGTGAGAAACTGTAAGTGGAAGTTCCTATGTTGAATCTACCTCTACTAATACACATGTTGTGCTTTGAGGATATAGAAGGAACTAATAGAGAAATAACCCAACGGTGCATACCGCATGTGGTTTCGAAGGATGACCGCGGTTACCGTAGTTATGTGATTGGTATTGCCAGGGAAAAAGAAAAAGGAAAGAGGTTATTTGAAGGCATTCGCGTCTGGTCCAGATTGTATAGGTATATAGTTGAGTCACCATCCACCACGACTCCTACACTCACCGTAACTCATCACATTTCTACGGCATCATAAACCATCCCCAGAAACTTGCTTAAGAATTCCATATTCATATTTGCAAACCAATGTCATGACCAACCAGCAACCTGAACAGCATGCTTCGGCAACATCTGCTAGTGCAACTCGGGGCACCACCACTCTTTCATCGAAGCCTAACTGCGTGCAACCTTCCGCACTCATCCATTTGCAACTCACGATGCATGACCTGCCACTTTCAGCCAAGGGACTTTTAAGCTGGAAACTTTTCCTGGCTCCTCCTTATGGTCTCCTCGAACGATGGACAAGACACACAACCTACAAACCAACCGAACCTGACAATTTCCTATATACATGGCCATGGAACGATGCAACTCCCACCTTGACACTCGGGTCAGACCAGACATACGAAACCACCGAGGCGGCGGAAAGGGACACGTACGCTGCTTTGATGATACTCCACTCACTGGGATTTGTCAAAGTCTCAATGCCTGACTCGAGAAACATTGCGATGAGATGGGGCTATCCGGACCGTCAGTGGTTGAACAAGACGATGCCACAATTGGTGGAGAAACTTGGGATAAATTGGGACGATGTTGGAATCCCAGATGTTCGTTGGCTCGAATATATTCAGTGGGAAGCAGTTGGCTCTCGGGCATCGGAAGCAAGTCGATGATAAAGGGCAGGAACAAGCGGGAAAGCGATGTGGTATGGATGAAGGCTGTAGGGAGTCGATTTTTTTAGGACTCAAGTAAGCGATATCAGAGCGGCCACTGTAGAGATGTTTCTACATACTGCGAGGAAGACGGGAGCTGTTGTTATTGAGTATCGTTGTAAGGGTTAGACATAGGCAAATCGCTGCACTGTTGTGTTTGTCTTGCTGTTCCCGTGTTAATTATACCAACGCAATGCTTCAAGTTGGGTAATGCAGTCAACAGGACATGAATGGAACGACAAGCCTTATGTACAAATGAAGGAAGATTGTTCATGTGCGTCATGTGTAATGATCCACTCGAGAATGAGGATGTTGGTCCTGACAACGTCCAACGGTCCGTACGTCTGTACATACATCTTGATAGACCCCATCAGTCACTCCTCGCCATTTTGCCCATGCACCGAAACTTTCCGTATACAACGTCTTCTACTCTTACGCAAGAAGGGGGGAAAAATGGACCAACATGATTCAGGATTTTCCTTTTGAAATCTTCACCGAAATTATCATCATCTCCAAATGTCCCAAAACCATGACCACCACACCTAGCCTTCCAACACGCCTAAAGAGCCTTTCTATAAAACCCAAAACCCTCGAAGTTAACCCCTTGGAGGAACACTATGACGAATGTCTTTTCTCACCATGGAGGAGTGCAAGAAGGACTTTCTTGGTGGATAAGCTGTCGTGGATGTTGATCGAATTGGAGACGATAAGTTCTGGAGAAGCTTTGAGAAGAAAGCCTGAGTCGTCAGAGATAGTGACTCAAGCAACGCAAGACAGTCAGTTGCTGGTGGACAGGGCGAGGAATTGACAAGTGGCGAGGTTACAAAGAAGATTAGAAAAAGCATTGTCTGAGGTTGAGGATAACTTCGGTTTACCTTTTGAGGTGTTCAGTGAGACAGCGGCGGGTTCGCATGAAGAAGAGGTTCATCTAGCGTTGACATTGAGGCAATGAGTAGTAGTTGACTCAGGTATCAAATGCAAATTATAAAATTTCTCTCTTTCTGTCTCTTCTCACTGTCTCGGATCTCTCTCGCGATCAGGGATATCAATCAATCAATCAATCAGTCAATCAACCAAAACCAATCAATCAGTTTCGAGTACAGGGAAGTACGTGCCCGCCCCCACTTCCTAAAGAAAACAACATGATGTGAAAAGAAGTTTAAAAAAAAAAGAGGAGAAAGGCCTGCCACCGTAGCCTTTCCGTCTTCGCGGATAAACCAAAAAAAAAGAAATGACGGAACCAACAAATGTCCAGTCCAGCATACACAACCAGACAAACAGATGGCCATCCGAATCAACCCAACCCGACCTAACCTGTCCCAACCTAACCTGACCGTAAACCCGAACCATCTTCACCAGTTCCACACTGACCCAGACACACAGAAGACAGAACACACTAGGAAAAGCGCTTTCATGCTTTTTTGTTTCTTGGGATCCTCTCCCCACTCATCTACCGATGTCATCATCCCGTCTTCTGTTTCTTGTTTCCCGCTCTCGTGGCTCAACGAGCTTCCAAGCAACCTCCATTAACAATTCGCCCTTCTGCTCTCACTTCTGCTCTCACTTTTGCTCGAAACTTTCCGGGCTCATCATCCCCATAGCCCCGGCGTCATCTTTATCCGTGATGCTCGCATTTGTCTGGCTGTTTACGCTCCCCATTCTCTCCATAGACGGAGCAACCAACCCGCCAACATTGCCACCACTTCCTCCTCCTCCTGCGGCGCCCGTACCGTTGACCAAGTTGTGACTGGTCTTGGCCTTTTTGGAGGGTGTACCACCCGCGGCCGCCCCCGCCTTCTCTGGCGAGGCATTGGCGCCCGCCAGGGCCTCCTTCTTTCTCTTCTTGGCCGCGGCGATCTGCTCTCTGAGCGGCCGCTTGGCCGGGGCGGTAATCTTGCCGCTGGCGGCCAGACGAGGACGTGGCTTCCTTTGCTTGACGGGCAGGTCTTCGTCTTCCACGAGCGGCTGATCGTTGTTGGCATGCAGCTTGGCAAGGAAGAAGTTCTTGACCAGGCCGATTTCCTCTTGGATGCTTTCCTTGGTGACCGGGTCGGCAGGCGGGAGCTGCTCGAAGAGGTCGGTTGTTGCCTGGCCGGTTGTTGAAGCCTGCATTTGGTATTGGTTCCGAACCCTTGATTGCAGCAGGTGTAGTGGCACTGAAAGCATTTCGAGACCCAGCTCGCGGTCGAGACCAAGGGCCTTGAAGCCGAAGAAGTCATCGCCAAGTTCCTCTGCAAAGTCGCCTCCCACGAATTGCTCGCTGCCATCTTCGAATGATCCTGATCCGTCACCACTATTGTCGGTCAGTGCCGGCCGCAGTAGGTCGGCAAGATGCGCCTTCATACGATCGTGGATCTGGGTGAGCTTGTTGCCCAGGCGGTCGATATCGTCCTTGGCGTAGGCCTGCAGCGCATCCAGTTCGATGCCACTTTCGCTCAATGTGTGCAAGATGACTTCCTCGTTGGTGAATCTGGGCACGTATTTTACCCCCTTTTCCTTCCATGCAGGCGGTGCCTCCTTCCACTCGGCTTCACGGTATATGTTGTAAGACCGGATGATCTTTTGAAAGTAGTCGCCAGCAATGTCGGTTATCGTATCCAGGGCGGAGGGCTGCAGTTCCTCGAAGCCCGCATGGTAGAAGATCTTGGCAACGGATCGTTGTAATGCCGCCCTGCACACCTCGGGGGCCATGACGGGACCTTCGCCGGCGAGAAAGGTGGGCTCAATATCGGCTTCCACCATCGGCTCCGGGTTATACTTGGGGAACTGATTCGTATATACCTATTCATTTGCATGTCAGCATCTAAGCCGTCAAGGTGAAAAAGAATCACGCTTCATTGGGCTCGCAAAGCCTACCTGAGTCTGGATCTGCATCTGCTTGATGACGCTGATCTTAGAGCACAGTTTGCGAGTCTCTTGCATCTGCCGAATGTTGGCATCGAACTTCTTGGTCAGCCGACTCTCTGGGGCGGTGAATTGACCGGGAGGGACAAGCCGGAGAAACTCTTCATGCTGATTGATCACTTGTCCCTCGCCATCCTCGACCCATTGTAGCTTTGATGGGATATCGGGTATGATCGTCTGGGGTTCGTAATAAGCAGGGACATTCCGAATAGTCTCATCCTCCATGCCCTGGGCTAATGTCTCTGCCACCTTGTTGCCATCTCCACTACCAGGCGCATCGCCTTGTGAGGTGATCACGCCCATGGCCTCTGCCTCTTTGCGTGATTTCAGAAATCGACGCATCCCGGCTTTGGTTCGCAGTAGTGCAGGCTCATCGGGATTTAGCTTGTTGTCCTTGAACAGCTGGAAACGCTCCTTTGCCAGGAGAGCACGATCCTTTTTCGTTACTTGTTTCCAGATCTTGTACTCTTCGTCCTCATACGCCTGCTCCTCCGCTTCTCTGAAGGCATGATTCAAGGCCATTCCGTTGAGTGATGGCCCATCAAGCTCCATGGCATCCGCGTTGCTGACCCCCGAGTGTCCACCATTTATGTTGCTGGGTGTAAGGGACCCGCCGATAGGCGTCCCAAATCCATTGCTGCCGTCGACCTCGGAGCCCTCCCTGTGAGACTTGGCTAGGATACCGTTGAGTTGCAATATCGGTTTTTGGTCGACGCTTGGTGTCCCTTCTTTTTGGTCTGTTGGTGCTTTCCGTGACTTGTTGGTCCCTTTGGTACCAGCCTTTCGTCCACGAGATGACATTATTGGCTCGTCGTCACTGTCATCGCCAGCTTCGTCCTCGCCGCCGTTCTGTTTTCGGCGTTCCTCGGCTTCAACCTCTGCCCTGGGCCTGATCACGATGTCCGGTATTAGGGGAATTAGTTTCTCAGCCTCCTTGCGCATCCCATTGGCCATCCGGCGGAGAGGATTGGCCAAGTCCTGGTTATATCGAAGACAGTTATCCCAAATCAGGTTGAGGTCCGTGACAAACTCGGCCTTGGACTTGTAGTGGAGAGTCTTGAGTCTTTTGGCCATTGTACCTAGGTCCATTGGCTGTTTGATGACTGACCACGGTGTTAGCCTAAACTGGGCGAGCGAGTGTTCCATACGGTAACCCCAAAAAACTCACTGTTATAATAGTCGTGCGCATCACGTTTGTTCACTTTGGTCAAAAAGGGAGTTGAGTACTCGGTGTGCGCCTTAAGCTCGGTCAAGACCTTGTCCAGGGCCTCGTACAACTCTTCCTGGCCGACGTTCTCCTCGCTAGCCCATTTACTCCTGTTCTTGCGAACCTCGTTCATAAGCGACCGTAGTTCAGCGTCCGATGCCTGCACGCGGTCGCGCTTCATGTCTATTCGGGCAATCAAGTGTTTTAGGGTAAGACTTGAAGCGCCGAGGTTGGCACTGCTGAGAGAGCCGTGGTTGTTTTGGCTGGGGGCTCCTTGACTGTGGTTTGTTTGTCCCGACTTGTCCATCTCTGCTTGTAGTTGCTTCTCGGATTCCTCCAGTTGCTGTTGTTCGAGCATTGCTGTCCTGTCGTTCTCGAGTGTGTAAAAGAGGGTATGAAATCCGCGCTTGGCCGCCTCCTCGGTCGCATTGCGCGCCGCCTCCAATTCCCTGCGCGCATCCTCGGAGGACTTTGCCTGGGGTTGCGATCCATCTTCCTTGGCTGTTTGCCGGTCTGCTTGCCGCCCTGGCGAGGGTATAGAGTGGACGGGAGAGCTGCCGGACTTGGACGGGGAGAGGAGTGCCCGGGCGGCGGCATCGTTGGCGGAATGCTTGGATGTTAGTTGTGTGTCTGGTTTGGTGTCAGTCGCGACGGGGTGATGGCTTTCTTGATCGTCGTCGTCTTGGTCGTCGTCGTCGTCGCCATAGTCGTCCTCGTCGATGACGCGCTTCGCTTTTTTGCGGGGGGGCTCCTGGATCGGCGCGTGATCGGTCGTGGGAGGGAGCAGGGGTATGGGGGGTGTCGGGGCGCGCTTCAAGGCGGCTATGACGGGAATGTTGTAGGAGCCGTCATCGGCGAACAGCAGCGCGATCCGCTCGTCGGCCTTGTGGTACTTGTCGACGAAGTGGGAGCGGCGCTGGTCGTCGTCGGGGTCGGATGACGGTGCCTCAGGCATCAAGGCGGTGGAATTATCAAAGGGAGTCTGGGTTCGCGGGGGCCCATCGTCCTGGCTGGGGTGGGGGATGACGGCCCTGATACCGTTCATATGGGCGGCGGTCGAGGGCGGAGGCCAGGCATGCTGACCGTTGGTAATGGACATTTTCGGACCGGGTCGTGGAGTTATATTAAACGGGGCCGGCGGTCGGTCGCCATGCGCCAGAAAGTGCGCTCGTGTATATCCGGCACCAAGGCACTTTGGGGCGACCTGGTCACATGGGGAGAAAGAGGGGCATCGGTCGAGATGGAACTGCAGTCGAGAGCGGAATAGGGGCTGTGGTGGTGATGCGGCGATGGATGTCGTTGCGGCTGTTCTGCTGGGAAGTCAGACGTGAGGTCAAGTTTAGAGTGGGCTCCCCGTCGTGCCGTTTCTGGACAAGGGGCGGGCGGTAGTCTTGGTCAGGTCGCGGTTGACGGGTGCAGCAGCGGCGATGTTAGGGAGAGTTATGAATTGACGTTGACTGAGGTGCTATACACGCCCCTAGCACTAACATCTAGAGAGCGACAGGTCTAGGTACCGGCTACCTGTACTTGGCGCTGGATTAGGTTGCCTGTGGTGTGGTGCCGTGGGTAGTAGAGGTAATGCCGCACTGCCCGGAGCTGGTACGCGACGCTGCGAAGTTAGGTACCTAGGTAGGTAGGTAGATAGTTCCCGTCCCGTCTAGCCGTAGTGTACACTAGCAGATAGGTAGGTACCTAGTGTTTGCGGCGCCCCTTTTTCGCCTTGCGCCCCAATTAAGACAGGTGATGGGGATTCTGCGCAGGTGATCGCCGAGCACCAGGAAAAGTTAACAAAGCTGGAGCTGTCGATGCGCGCGGCAATTCCAAGTTGTATAAGAAGAGTTGAATACGTAGACGTATTTCGCTGTTCCAAGGAAGCACGTACGGTACCCGCCCTGGCGGAGTGAGAAGCAGCGCTCTGGGGAAATGCTAAAGTCACGTGAGACCTTGGCCTAGCCTCCATGGGTGTCCTTTGGTGAACCTGTCCCCGGGCTTTGGCGTAGTATGGACGGGACCAGAGAACGGAACCGCCCCCGCTGCTAAGGTAATTGGCTTCCGGAAACGCAAAGAGTCAGCCATCTAAACTAGGTTTACCATCTTGTCTCTGTGAGTCTGAGTAGGAGCTGTTCCTTAGTAACATATTGGCTTCTCACTCCAGGGATAGAGGGTACACAGTCCACAAAACAGCAAGCATAGAGATGGACTCGTGGAATATATCGATGTAGGAATCGTCAAGCAGGACGAGCAACGCAAGGCAGGGATCGTCATTCTTCTCCCCGGGTCCCATGGGATGATGTCCAGGGGCATGCCTTTCCCACCGCCCTAGTGCCTCCCTCTTGTGAGAGTCCCGTCACGGGCACTCCTTTTCCCTCGTGGAGTCGTGCCCATTTCGCGGAGAAGCCCCGCCCACCCCGTTCAGGTCCCGTCTGCCCATTCCCCAATGCCATGCCCTGCCAATGCCCACCGATGCCCCGTTCTTACGTAGTCAATGGCAGTGAAGAGCACGTGTAGACGTCTGTAGGTAGCTGTGTACCTGGGGCTGGGCCTGTAACTCTGTGTCGTGAGCCACTCTGCAGCGATGGACTGCTTTCCTCTGACGCTGATTTGCTTCCTTTCCTTGTCCAGTCTCTTCCTCTTGTCCAGTCCACGGGTTGCCCCCGTCCCTGTCGTTCAGCTCATCCGTCTGCATTTCGCCGAGTTCCGTACATCATACATGACCTACTGTGTATATCGAGCTTATCTGTTATCGGGTAGGTTCGACTTGGACCTCGACGCTTGGACTCCCGTTCGCCTGCGCCACAGCTGTTACTAACTCTACAGCTTTATCCCGCCGCGCTGCCGCCCCAACGCCCGGACCTGCACACTTTCTTAACAGTTCACGCAACGGTTTCAGCCCTGAATGCTTGGCTTGCGTCGCCAGAGCTTCCCGAACCCCCCTGCCCCGCTTCCTTGCCGAAAGGTCCGACACCCTGCTGCTGCTGCGTGCCCTTGCCCGTTGAGTGAGTGCTGAGCTGAGACACTGAGAGGGTCTTTTCTCTCGACTTTTAAAGGTTTGCTTCCATCGACGTTTTCTTGGCTCACGAATTGGACCGACTCGAGCCTCTCTTTCTTTCTTTTTTATACTACTAATCTCTTGTGTGACCCTTTGCTCCAAGGTCATCAATTGCTTCAGCCTCCCTGCCTTACCTTTGCTCTGCTCTGTGCACCCCGACGAATTCCACAACTACAGTACTCCAGTCCTCAATCCATGCGAAACCATTCAAACACCAGCAAACTCTCCGCGCAATTATCCCCAGGACAACAACAATGACGGCATCAACTATCTTGTGATAGGCGTACTCATATAGACCATTTTCGACCGAATTATCGAACAACGCCCGAGACGAACGAAAGCCTCTGTGCAAAACCACACCCACAAAGACAGCACATCTTCTACTATACAACAAACAACAGAAAGTAATCCAGCATGAGGATACGCATGCCCTTCGCCGGTTCGTGATCCCCCATACCCTCATCATATCCATATGCCTATAACCTTGGATCCATCCATTAACAAATTATGAACTCACCCAACAGGCATCTTCGCCGCCCTCCTCCTTCTCTCCGCCTACGCCGGCCTTTCCTCGCTGCACATGCCCCAAGGCACCCTCCTCAACGACAAAACCCTGCATTTTCTCGTCTTCTTCCTCTTGACCGTCACCTTTTACTGGATTCTCGACACCACGCGCCGACGCATTTTACATTTAACCCTTTCGGTGGTCACCCTGGGCATGGGCGTGGGTTCCGAGTTCGTGCAGGCCGCGATCCCGAATAATGGCAGGGAGTTTGACCCCTATGATATTTTGGCGAATCTGGTGGGCAGTTTGCTGGGCCTGGGATTGTGTGGGTGGTATCACAAACGGATGTTGGAAAGGAGGAGGGTGAGGAAGTACACGGCTGTTCCTACGGGGGAGGACATCCCTGAGGGGGATGTTGATTTGGAACTTGGGGAGGTGAGGAGGAGTGGGGAGCATGAGGAGGGGGTTGTTGTTGCTGCTGCTGCTGCGGCCTCTGTTCCTGCTGCTGCGGCTTCCCCGGCTGCGGCTACGGCTACAGCCAAGAACATGTCACTTGAGGAGGAGTTGGATAACTGGGACGAGAACGCGGTTGATGCGTGGGATGATGGTGATGACGTGGGTGATGTGGGTGGAAGTGGTGCTGGCGGTAAGAGCGTGGACGCTATTAAGGATGCTGGGGCTGCTAAGAAGCGCGTGGATTGAGGTGGATCAGTGGAAAAAAAAGAAGAGATATGGGCAAAAACATATCCACTTGGATGGTTGGATGAGAATCGTGTTGGTCTTCACGGATCTTTGCTTACTAGGCGTTTTTCCACGGTCACGGCACCTTTGGGTCAGTCATCCTGATAAAAGGGAAAAAATGGGAAGCGAACTTGGGAAAATAGGGAATGCTGGAATATTGCTTACTTTGCCTTTATACCAGTCAGTCTACAAAGCCTTTTACCATACGAGCACACAGCCAACAGTCCGAATCAAGCATCTTATACGTTGGCATGCTTTGTCCAAGTAACAGGCTTATCGACTGTTGAACATTATCCAGAAGATGTCAACATACACTCTAAAACCCAAAGCCCTCGTTATGGAACCACACCTCCCTCCCCTGCCTCACATACCTCCCCACCTGCCTCCTCACCTGCTGTCCCATCTTGGTTGGCCCACAAACCAGAATCGCCACGCGCTCCTCCGGTCCATGTCCAAAAGCCTCGTCAACCACCTTTTTCAAATCCGGTCTGCTCCGATGATGCTCCTTTCCAGAAACAACCCTTCCATCCGCTGTCCTCCTCAACGCATCCATCTCAACAGCGACAGCACCAGCCTCTCCCCCGAGATTAACCAACGGCGAGTTTTCACCCGAGTCAATTCCACTACTAAGTCCTGCTCCTTCTCCTCCCTTCTGTCCAGAAGATCCAGACCCGTTGTTCCCAGTCAAGTAAATGTGCACATTCGGATCATTCAAAATGTCACCAGCATCGTTTTCAATAACCGCCCACGTGGCTTCCCCCGCCGTGCGCACTGCCCAGACCATTTCCACCTTGGTTTCCGGGTTCTCGGCCACGATGGCGCGGTACAGCGGGATAGTAAAAGTGGCGCCGACGCCGCCGGCGATGAAGAGGACGCGGTCGAATTCGGAGCCGAGGGATAGAGCGGGGAAATTTTTGGCGGCGCCGTAGGGCCCTTCAATGTTGAGGAGGGCTTTCTTTTCTTCTGCTGGCGAAGAGGGAGAAGAAGAGGAAGCAAAGCGGGCAAGAGCGGCAGTCATCGGCCCCGCACGCTGGCGAGCCACAAGGGTGAGGGCCCCCGAGTCTTGGTCTACGTGCGCAATGGTGAAGGGGTTGAACATGAACTCGAACAGAATCTCAGACGCATCATGAGCGGCCTTGACGTCCTTCCTGCGGAAAGCACTGCGGGTGGCAGGCGGCACGTTAACATAGACGTGGGCGCCCGGCGCCACTCGGAGGAAGTGGTTCTGACGCTGGCGCGAGACGGGCACCTGGATCTTGATCAAAGAGGTGCCAGGGATGGCTGAGATGGTGGTCTCGACCGTGATGGTGTCGCGCTTGCGGAAGCCAATGTCCACCAAAAAGACCCCCAAGGCCTCGAGCATGTACTTCCTGCTGGAAGCGGCATGGAACCAGAGGACGACCGGCAGAACCAAGGCGATGAGCAGGTGGGTGACGAAGAAGACGCGGTACGAGCGGTTGCGGAGCGGGCGAATGGCCGTGGTGATCATCAGGTTCAGACCAAAGAAGGAGAGCATGCCGTAGATGACTACGGGGGACTGTAGCTTTTGGAGGAGAATGTGGTTCTGGATGAAGTAGTTGTAGTAGAAGATGGTATGTAGACTCAGCAGGAAGGCGGTGCAGCGGGCGAGGACGCGGTGCCAGCGGTTGGTTTCCTCGTGGGAGAGCTTGAGCGTCCAGGAGACGGGGTTGAAGGATTTGAGGGTTAGCATGTACTGCATCGGGTATTGAGAGACGGCGATGATGCCGAAGCGCTTGGTTAAGTGCATGTAATCACGACCGGTACCGGCTACGCAGAGGACTAGCAGCCACACTGCCCAGACAATGCCGCCTATCCATTGTTCTCGTTGACCCAGGACTTCCCCGAAGGCGACGACATCCTCGCCGAGCCACCAGCGCAACTTGGACCACCAATTGCTCTGCTTCCGGGTGTTGAAGGAGTCGGAGCTGGGGACTGCGGTGTAGTCCCTCTTTCGAGACGAAGAAGACTTGTTGAGGGTCTGGTATAGCCACACGAGACCAATGGGAATCAAAGCCGATAGGTGAGCGTAAAGAGCATATCTGTCGAGAGACTGGCGGCGGGCCTGCTTCTCGGCTTGGGAGAGGTCGAGGAACTGGTACGGCCAGTTCATCTTGAGGGTATGTTTATGTGGGAGGTGAATCAACAGGGAAAGTTGAAAGAGGGGGGAACCTTATCTTTGAAGAAGAGATTCCTTCTCTCGGTCTGAAGCCGGGTCCCGCGAAGTTCGAGACCGGCCCGCACCCGACCCGATGTGTGCACTTGCATCTGTGGGGGAAGGGATGGGCCCCTGCCAAGATGAACAGGGCAATTGTCTGAACTTTGATTGGACGACAAAAGGAGCAGATCATCCCCAGCGCGGGTTGGGTCACAATGATCCCTGCTCCAGGACGGAACCTAACCCAGACTACAACCTTCACCTCTGCTTTTTCAACGTTGAGCTCAAAGTGTCGTATAAGTTATGACCAAGTCTTGCCATACTGACTGTACCTGCATTGACCGCACGTAAATGACCTTGAATAGCCTCTCGAATCTCAGATGTTGAGTTCCACGGTGAGACCACCGCTCGTTACTTGACTACCCGAGGCTTTTCGATGGAAACGCTTGATGCCAGCAAGGTCAACATCATAGGCTCCACTAGAGCTGCAGGAGAGCTGCGCGTTAGAACTGACACGGGATGGTGGACGAGTGATAAGGTCCAATGAGTCCACTTGGTACGTTAGAGTTTCATCCGGGACAAAGACATCTCATAACAACGTTTCCCCATCGCGGCTACATGCACTGCTCGAGTTGTAACCAGTCTCCCTAAATCAACAAAGACACAATGGCACCCGCAAAAGCAGTCTTGACCAGCAAGGCCCCCAAGCCTATCCCGCAGCTGTCCCAGGCCGTTGTGTACAATGGCATGGTCTACTGCTCTGGCAGTCTCGGTATCGACCCCGCCACCGGAAACATGGTCGAGGGAACTGTGAAGGACCGGACGGTATGGCCTTATTGGGAATAAATTCAGACGGCATGTACTAACTTGCTCTCTTTACCCCATGTAGAGACAAGTCTTCAAAAATCTCTCGGCCGTCCTCGAAGCGGCTGGCAGCAGCCTCAAGAACGTTGTCAAGGTGAACGTCTTCCTTACCACCATGGACAACTTTGCTGCCATGAACGAGGCTTATGACGAGTTTATTACCGCTGAGCCCAAGCCGGTACGTGTTTACGCTTAGACAAACGAAATGAAAGAGTTGAAGCTTACATACAAACATGTGCAGTGCCGCACTTGCGTTGCTGTTGCCCAGCTGCCTTTCGGCAGTGATGTCGAGATCGAGTGCACTGCTTATCTTGATGCGCCGTCTGCAAAGCTTTAAATTGAAACTCGAGTTAAGCAACTGTATTCAAGTTATACAAAGATTAAAGTTTATCCGTTTTGTACAAAGTCCTGCTTAATCAGTGTAGTACCAGCAATTTTCTCATCCAGTACGGCATCTTTCAAATTTCCAACATTAAATACGGAGTCATCAATCGTCACAGATCTCCGTCCCAAGCGCGCGGAACGCACACAGCGAGATGCGGAGAGAAAGGAAAGCTCGGACCACATTACTATACTGACGTAATTTACATACTTGTCGTTTTGGAGAACCAGCTCCAATTGGTAAAGCGCGGTTGCACACTGAAAAATAGAGGCCAACATTTCCTGTCCATCTCGTCTTCTCTCTTCAACACAAAACACCAATACCTGTCGCTCAACCGAATTATCAGGTCAATTCCATACGTCAGGTAATGCAATGATATCCAGGATACCACTCAGCGCTTGCCGCCATGCTTATAGCGCCCCCTCTCGACTAAGGTCAACAACGGGCCTCCTCTCCTTCGCACAGTCGCAGCAGCAGCAGCCTTCGATATCCCAACTCTCTACCGGCAATGTCCGCCTATTTTCGTCAACCACACACAACGCCTTCAGACAGACTCTCCCCCGCCAGGAAGAGCCTAACCTAAATGATGTCCTCGAACAACAAGCCCGATCCGGCGTCAACCCGCCCTACACCACCCGCCCTCCACCTCTCAACCTACCCGAGCGCCAGCCCGACACCTCCACCATCTCCCACCTCTTCGCGACCGGCAAGGCCTACCTGACCTTCTACAAGACCGGCCTGCGCCAGGTCTTGACCAACTTCAAGCTCCTGCGCGCCGTCGGCAAAGGCGGCGAGGGTCCCATCGCGCGCTCCGAGAACCCGCTCGCCGATGCCGATTGCATCGACGGCTACCTCCGCTTCCGCACGCGCGGCTCCCTACTACTCTACAAGCGCGTAAAACATGACCTTAACAAGCTGCCAATCTTCGGCCTGCTGCTTCTTGTGTGCGGGGAATTCACACCCTTTGTCGTGCTGGCCGTGCCCACCATCGTTCCCTACACGTGTCGGATTCCGAAGCAAGTGGACAAGATTCTCAAGCGGATAGAAGAACGGAGGGCGGCGGCGCTGGATGAGTTGGTCGGGGAGGTGTATGAGGCGGATGATCACCAGCTGATTTCCGACGACGAGGTCAAAGAGGATTTGGAGGCGCTGGAAGGCTTCCCGGACGAGGCCGTCGAGGCTATTGGGGAACCGAAGAAGGTGGAAGACATGACCGAAGAGGAAAAAGAAGAGTACGAATTCGAAATCAGGCAGTGCGAAGAAATCATCAAGGAGCAACGGGAGAAGCGCATAAAGGCCGGGCAGGAGGTAGACCCGCGTCCGATCCGCGAGCAGGCGCAGGAGTGGGTGGAGCTAGCCCGTGCCGATAGGGAGGAGTTCGGCGACCATGAGGAGATTGACGTCTTCCCCATGACGGCCAGCGAAGCCCTGGATCAGCTCGACCCCCTCAGCGACGATTGCGAGCAGTTCAACATGCTGGATGTGCTTGCCCGCTCGTACGATATTAGGAGCTGGTGGGGTCCCGCCGGAAGGGAACGTGGTGTGCACAAGCACATGCGCTTCCTGGCTGTCGACACGGACCTGCTGGAGAAGGACGGCGGTGTCGAGGCACTGGAGGACGACGAGGTGGTGTTGGCGTGCATTGATAGGGGTATCGACGTGCGAGGTCGCAAGATTGGTGATCTGAGGTATGCGCTGGAGAAGTGGGTGATCTTGACTTCTGTGCTGGCCAAAGACCGGGCGGATTGTTTGAGGAGGATGGCGGTGTTGGGGACGTGCCCGGAGATTCTGTGGCCGGGTATCCCTTGGCCGGAGGAGGATAAGGAGGTTCCTGTTAGGGAAGGATCAGGAGGGGCAGACGAGAAGCAGTAGGGGCAGAGGAGAAGGAGTAAACCTTGAGAAGAAGATGGGAAACTTGATACCCGAGATACGTATATCGCACTGTTCTGGTCTGGTGCTTACGATATGGAATGTTTTAACATGATGTATATGGGTGACGATAATGATAAACGCCGTATATGTTAACAAGTCATTTGGACTCTGACACTCGTATAGTCTCATTCATTTTAAAACCCCGCAAAGCTTCTATGTAGAGGCTGCGGCGTGGTCATTAGTTCTTCTCTCTGTCTTGCAATTTGCTTCCATATCCTACCTGGTCTCCCTTCTCTCTTGACGTGTAGCGCCGAGGTGTCTTTCTACCTGTCTATCACGTCTTTTCTTCACTTCTCTCTCTCTCTCTCTCTCTCTCTCTCTCTCTTCACTTACACTTACCTCTATTCGCTATATCACAATTATATTACCTGGACGTAGACACATCCATGATAGTAATTTATACATCATCTGGAGGTCAATGCTCCTTATTTGTTCCAAGACTGAATCTTCTCTACCGTTGGGTGCCTGCCTACCCATATCGGACCAAACGTCTTTGTTGTTTTTGTCCTTTTGTTTCTTCATCCTTAGTCTTTTGTCTGGCGTTTAGACAGATTTTGGTCCTTTGGTAGAGTAGTTAACCATCCGCATGTCACCACCTTCCAGCCCCGTTCCACTGACCCTTGGTTGTTTTAATGTCGCCCACGGGGATATATGAACCAAAATCAACAAGCGCCAGCTGCTTCTCATCTCATGCCACCGATTGAGGATGATTTAAAGAAGAACATGTTATTGGATGGTATGGTACAGTTTTTCCCATTGCTCTTTTTGTCCTCCTTCTTCTGTGTCCATAGGACATGAGTAATAGAAGAAGTCAAAAAAGCCCATCCTGTTCTTTTCTGGTGTCTGTCTCTGTAAGGCCAGTCCTGTTTTCCAGGGCCCTGTCTCTGAAACCATGGGTCTGTATATCCCAACTTGCCTGTCATCATCATCATCGTCCTCATGTTTGTATCTTCAAGCGTTTCGCACCTCTCAAGCCGAAGCAACGTTGGGATCCGCAGAGACGGGCTTGACCTCGACTCCGTACTTCTCAAAGAGTCTCTGGCGCCTGCGTTCTTGGTAACCGGGTGGGTAGATACCTTTGTTGGGGTTTGCTCGGTTAGCAGGTTTGCTCATCAAAGATCGATAGATCTCTCTCTTGGCATTGATATGACTTGACTTACCCCGACCCTCGCCAACTTCCGCAAGGGTTTCCTCGACCGGCCTCCTCCTGTTCAGACGCATAGCCTCTTTCCTCTCGTACTCGTCGACATTAGGGTCCCTCCCCCATCCGGTTAGCCCGCCGGAGAAGGCAAAGGCACCGACGACGGAGCCGGCCATGGCGCCGAACCCGAGGATGACGGGAAACCGAAGGGCTGTGATGATTCAAGACATTATCCAGGTTAGCTGTTGTAGGTAGCAAGTAGCGCAAGTGAGCAGGTAAGCAAGGACATGAATCATTCATGTCCGTCTGGGGTCACAAGTGGAGTAGTTCGTTCCCGCGTATGGGGTACCGCTCGCATCGTCATATGGAACTTGTATAAACAGGGTCGGGGGTGGTTTCGTTTTCCTTCCCGTATACGTACATCGCAAGCCCATGACGCTTCCACCGAGGAAAGCACCGATCGCATGGTTCCAGCCGTCTTCCTTCTCGCGCAGGTTCGCCGAGGCCTGTTGGGCGAATCTGTAGATACCACCGGCGAGAGCTTTTGATTGTAACAAGTCAGTCAAGTTGTTTTAGTTGGGCTAATCGCGCTGTGTCGCGCAATTGACGGGATACCATGTCGTACTAAAGCTGATGATAGTGCCTCCGCCGTGGGTAAAGACGTGCATGCTGCCGACGTTGTTCTTCTTCATGGAAGTGCGGAGGGAAGCCATCAAGAGACCGGCTCCACCACTGAACAGGGCGCCACTGACGCCGGACTTGATGGCGTCCTTGGGCTGAAAAACGGTGTCGTCCCCTTGAGGCGCCATCTTGACGGTGGACGGTTGTGGTCGAGGGAGAGTGGTGGTGGGCTTGGAGATGTCGTCGGCGTGGCCTTGATGCCCGTGGTGGGTTTAAACGTGATGTCCAGCGAGACTCGACGGGAGTCCTTTTTGAGCTTGCAATTTGAGTGCCTCTGCAGTCACAGCAGCAGTCAGGGTACTTCTGGGGTGCGCTACAGTGGACAGAGCCGCAGTTCGATGGCGCTTGCCCCTAGCGACCTAGCATTTGGTCCCGTCGCAGCTGTTGCAGCTCAACACGTAACCAGTAATCTGGTCCGTGCATTTTAGCTCTACCTAGCTCCCCTCCCAGCTCATCGAAGAATGGAGCAAGGAAAGGTGGGGTCATGACAGTCCCAGCAACATATAGGTCGTACTGCTGGGTATGCTATATGTACTATGCTTCTCTCAAGATACGCTGCCTTCTGGTTCACATTCTGTACAAACAGAGACGTTGTTTTGTTTTAGCTCCTGTACTCTATTGCCTAGAAGAGTTTGACGCTTTGGAATGGAATACGCTTGTGTGAACTTGATGAATTTGTTGCGGTATTGTAATTTACTGGATGCACTGCAGTACCTGGAGGCACCCACGTCACAGTTGAAACTTCAGAGAAAGTGCCCGTACAAGTCATCAACCTACTGTTAAGCTCCTTTATCCCGACAACACCTTCCCGACCTTATCCAAGATAATGCCACCTGCCGTCACAATCCGTTGGCTAAACTGACGCAGACAAGGAGTGCTTAGAGGTGTAGTTTGTGAAGTGTAGACGACGGTCATCAAGCGTGTTTGGTCTCCCACGGTCTCAAGTCATTAGTCTTTGCGTTGAACCACCAACCAAGACGGGAGGTACCTCCATCAATCATATTGTAGGGCCCATCACAAGGCGTCCACCCCTCCGCCCTCCGCCCTCATCCGTACCGCGTTGACAAGCAACGATCTGTGATTGCCTCTCTTCATCAAGAATCTTACTGGAAACACCGGTCACTATCCGCGTCGCAATACCATCCAGTTATCGGTTTGATTCACAACTAGATTGCATCATCATCATCAACCTAGCCTGCTGTCCTCTCCGGCATCAACACCATCACATCACACCCCGCCATAGAGGAATCCCTTCCTCAACCCTCGCCGGCAGCCACTGGTTGTACACGAACGAAGCCGCGTTATCGCATCAAACGGTGTTATAACGCTGTTCTAAAAGCCCAAAAGTACCATGATCATCCTACTTTTACCTCCCAACCTACTTCTGCGCTGATACTGACACTCTGTCATAGTGGACTTGGCCCCTACCCCGCCACTTCCCCCTAAAGCAGGTCGTTTGGCTTCACGCTGGCTTCAAGACTTGTTGCAGGGCGTCCTGCGTGAGGGCGATCCTGTCTTTGACTGCTATTCTTTGCGAGACCCTTCACGCCGGGACACTTCGTCATGCCGGCTTCACGAACTGGTCATTATCGGCTCGCAAAGCCATGGCATCGACCACGACGGTCGAGCCCAGCTCGCGCCCCTCGTAGTAAGCTGCATGTGCAAGCTTTGCCGTCACCACTTCGTTGTCAGATATACCATTCCCGAAGACGAATGCGGCCAACTCCATACCGCACAAGCTCACCACTATGTTGTCAGTGCCATGGAAGACAGGCCGACCTCCCCACTTGAGGCTTCGAAATTCTATCCCTGTGTCACCAGCACTACTCACGTCTGCTCGCTCTGCAGGCAGACCGTTTCTGTCGACGTTTTGCGGCCACACTTGAAAACAGCCTGGATCAACCGGATCATGGACAAGGACAGGATAAGAAACGCTTTGGCGATCGCCAAGAGGGAAGAGCCAGAACGCTACGGCGATCTAACACCAGAAAAGGAGGAGAACTATGCCAATTCGCCTTTACAGACCCTCAACATGTATATCAAAAACATTCTCGAGGATGACTGGAGCGCTCCGCAGAAGCGCATCGCCAGCCGCAACAGAACCTTCTCAGTCCAGTTTGGCCCAGCATGTGCCGACATATTCCTTTATCTTGGCTTCACGGAAGAAGTGGATGTCTCAACCGGAGACAAGTTCTGGGTACCGCCTCGGCTTCCTATTTCAGCCTTCCGAACACCCCTGGGCTCAGAACGTGCTTTCCTCGAGAACGTCAGAAGCGAGGTGCAAAGTTTTCTAGCCGAGAACCCTCCGAGGCCGGACCTACCCGTCGTGGGGGCAACAGTTAATGCGATAGAGCGGCTGGACAGGGTCCTGATATCGGACTGGCTTCGCAGCCACGAGACCCGATCGGCGCGAAACTCGGATGAGGCCCAACACTTTCGCATCCTGGGAGCATCCGAAAAGTCGGATGAGGAGGTGCTCAAGTATGCCTTCCTCCAACAAGTGGACGTGGATCCGGCGAACAGAGACATCTACAAGACTGCGCTTGCCAATTTGGCTGGCTACAGGAGTGAAGAGTTTCAGATGTACGTCTTCAGTTTGGATGAGAGTCCTGCCGCCCCCAGCGGCCCTCAATCTCAAGGGCCTCTTTCAGACGTAGATAAAGCGTATAGGCACTTCAACATTGAGCCGAAAACATACGGAGACGCTCGGTATTTCATCAACGTTTACAAAACCTACAGAGAGCAGTCACCAGGACAGCTATCTAGTCACAGAATCGCCCTTCTCAAAATTGGCAAGGACAGGGACGACTCGGAGATACTTGACGAGGTGTTTAACGGAGTGATGGACCACAACGAGGCATGCTCGATTCTGGAATCCGAGCCCGGCTGGTCCTTGGAAATTGCTGCTGCGGGTGCACGGGAGGCCGTTAAGAACGGCATTGATCGCAGACTGGTCATCAAAGCCTGTGAAACGCTCGCGGATGCCATGAGGAAGGAGAACGTGGCGGACGAAAACGGCTGGGCAGAATTTGATATGGTTCTCGCAGAACTCCGGGCTCCGGATTTCCTCCTACCCAATGCGGAACAAGGCCCCCAGTTTGAGGATACGACCGAGTTCATGTCACTACCCGTTGGCCTCGACAACCTCCGAAACACATGCTATCTCAACAGCATCCTTCAGTATTTCTACTCGGTCACGGCCGTGAGGAACTTCGTATTGAATGCGGACCAGACACCTTTGGAGCCAACCCAGGAAGCTATGCGGGCTCTTCTAGATGGCCTAGATCCATCTGAACTTGACCCTGGCCGGGCTTATGTCGGATCCGAATGTAAGTTTGCACTCTGCGCATTGTGTTTGTGTAAATCAAAGCATGCTGACGTGTATCAAAGTTTGTCGTGAACTGGGCTCCCTGTTTCGTGACATTCAGGGCGCCGGCACCCGCTCCGTGAGGCCCAGACAGCGTCTGGCCAATGCAGCTTTGCTCAGGCCAGACAGAATACGCAGTGAGCCTTTAGATGGGCCTGTTGACAATGCGTCCAAGCCGGCCACGGTCGAGGCTCCTCCATTGCCTCCCAGATCAGGCGCGGGCGACCTACCTAAGGTTACGGTTGACGCAGTACCAGAGCATTCGGAGACGGACAGCAACTTGAGCTCCCAGACCTTGGTCAACCAAACTGAAGACGACCCGACATTCATCGTTGTCGACTGCAATGCCGGTAAAGGTGAAGGCACAGGCGACGACATCACCATGACTGATGAACCTGCTCCGTCTACGCCTATCGCCGATTCCGCCAATACTGGAAACGACAGGCCCAGAGACCTGAAACTGACGGTTGCAGAGCTTGACGAAGAGCTTGGCAAGCCTAACGTTGGTTCTGACCAGATGGATGTCGATGAAGTCATGGGCAACGCAATAGACCATCTTCGGGCAGCTTTCAAGGTCGAATCGCTTAGAAATCCGAGTACGTCAGGGCCAGACCCGATCAAGGAAGCCTTTTTCTCGACGCTTGTCGACAACCGGAAAAAGACTAGTGAAAGTACTTGGAACAGCTCCACAAGATCTGAACGTTGGGTGATTGCCTATCCCGGAAAGAATGAGCGGATATCGCTGTACGATGCTTTGTCCAGATCATTCGATCTGGAAAGCGTGGGTGCAGAGCTTCTAACCTATACGACCATCAAGGACCCGGCTCCCAACTTCCATATTTGCATTTCGAGGTCAGATGGCCGCAACAAAAACGCCAACCCTGTCATCATTCCAGAGCTCTTATACCTCGATCGTTTTATGCACACGGAACAGCTCGACTCGCCGCTATTCAAGGCCCGTCAAAGAAGCTGGAATATTGGAAACAGGCTCCAGGAGCTCATGTCTCGTGACAACAAGATGAAAGAGATTGAGTCTGTCATGCCAATTCCCTTCGTAGCGCAAAATGAGAGAAGCTCAGACAGCCTTCTAGAGTCCTACATTCACATAAGTGATCAGGACGTTGAGGAGCTCAGAGGACACAATGTCACATCATTCTTGACGCCCGAGCTGGACGCCACTGTCGAAAAATATACTAGCCTACCCAGGCCTGAGTCATTCCAACCAGACATCAAATCTGAGGCGCCGAATCTTGATCAAGAAGAGCTTGGCGATCTCAGTCCAAGTGAAATCGAGGCTTTCGTCACGAGCATTGAGGCTGAAGCGGCTTGGGAAAAGGGGCAGCTGTTGGCCGAGCGTGAGAAGCTGTTTGATGGCATGCATCAGTATGTATACCGGCTTCACGCAGTCGTCTGCCATGCCGGAACCACGGCTGCCGCCGGTCACTACTGGGTCTGGATTTACGACTTTGAGGAGAACGTTTGGCGCAAGTACAATGACACCACGGTGTCTGTCCACCCGGCTGAGGAAGTATTTGAGCAGCTGAACACCAGGGGTGAGCCATACTACGTGGCCTACGTACGGGCAGAAAACGTCAAGGACCTCGTAAGCATCCCACGCCGTCAGTTCGCGGGACTTCCGGTTGGCTCTGACGAGCCCACGACGGTATGGGCTGAGACGGTGGATAGGATGGACTTGGATGCTCAGAATGCTTAGACAGCTAGATGTAAGGAAGAAGAGGAAAGGGCGAATAACTTTCCTCCCCTTATGGAGCAGCCCAAGCCATTGCGTGCTCCACAGCCGTTGGGCACCCGTTCACTTTTCTCCGTGTTAGTCGGAGATGCTGGACTGTCGTCCATACTCAAAGAAGAGTACGAAACAAACTTGGTGTCGCAAATGCAGGAAACTGTCTTAAGTTCCGATGAGGATTCTGTGGAGTTCGTTAACGGGGCAAATATACGTAGGTTGAGACAGCGGAGGTGGCAGAACAGGATGAAGGTTAAAAAAAGATTGAAAGTCAGGAGTAATGAGGACTAAGGAGGAGGGAGGACAGAGGGCCTTCCTTCCCTTGGTGTGGCCATGCGTTCTCCATACATGTTAGAAATGTCATTGTACGAATTAGTTTGTGGATGTCATGTCTTTGTTGTAGCGTTCTCGCATCGATCGGCTCATAGCCCTTTGGTATTGTTGTAGTGTAGTTACCTATGAACTCGTTCAAGTATGAACCTAGTGCGAAAATAGACCAACACGCGTACATACATACACAACGTACCCCCGAGCTTCCTTCCCACCCACCCATCACCCACCCCCTGCCCCCCTTTTTCTCCCGCTTTTCCGTAGCCGAGCGAAACTCCTTTACAATTTCTCTGTTTTCGACTCATCGGCTTTTTCGTCATTCACCCATCTCCCACTACACTACTTATCCACACTAACAGCCCTACACTACATTGATAAAAGTATGGAGTCCAAAAGAATGACGTCTTGAACAACAGACTTTCATTGCCCAAGAAAAAAGGGGGAGGGGTTCCCGGATGTCCGGATCCCGGAATGTACGGACACAGTACACTACATCTAAATGATGATCGACAACCAAGGAGAAAAAAAAAAATAGTTCTTTCTTCTCCATACGCGCACGTAACGAGTGTTGTATGTAATGGAATATCGTCAAAAGTTGTGACGGGGTTTGGTTAATCCAACAACATCGCTCTTCTGATACGATTCAGTTTAGATAGCAATTCACAGTGGAGAGCGAAGAATTATGAAGATGATGATATGGTAGTGGAGAGCTTCAACTTGGTTGGTATTATCTCCTCCTCTGCTACTTCTCTAGAGGTCTTGTGTTCTCTTCTCTATTACTCAGAATAGTTTCTCTCTCTCTACCTCTTTAGGGTACCCCTGACTCCTGACTCCTGAAGAAGAATAAGCTGGAAGAAGAAGAATGCCATCATGAAAAGAGGTTTCTTGAATATATATATCTCCAAATCCTGATGCAGCCCTTGGTGACTGACTGATTGACTAGACTGACACTGACCATTAATGTTACTAATTCATTCATGAACATGACCATTCTCCAACAACCTCTCCCCCCTCGCTCTCTCTCTCTGTCTCTTCTCTCATCATTGCCCAGTCGAGCACAAAACCCAAAAAAAATAACAACCAAGGTGAGGGAGAGGCCACACAATATCATTAAGTAAACTTTGTTCTTGCTTGCTTTCTTTCTCATCATTTGTCATTCCATCCCGCTTCCACGTTTCCACTCAAAACATCTGGTATTATATCCATCATTCCCCATCCCGGAGCCTAGCTATACCATTAAGCTTTAATGGATATTATTGACTTTGTCCCTTTCTCAAGTCCGTTTGTCAACGAATTATCAAAACGGCCAAGTAAGTTAAGTAGTCATCATCTCTTTTTCTTTTCCCTGCCCGCCTTTCCTTCCATTGCCCTCTCCCTTGCCTCCCTGCCTGCCTTCCTGCCTGTCTGCCGCCCATGGCCCGCCGGTATCCCTGAAAAAAAAAACAAAAGCCTTTGTATGCTTGGTGGTATATATATATATATGAGCGAGAGAAATGTGGTGTGGGGTATCGCCGGTTTGTTGTTCTAATACGCTTTAAAACCGCTTTATGAGAAAAAACCGCTTTAATCTGCGCGTGCGCCTCTGTGGATCATAAGATTGTGAAAAAAGACAATCCAAGGGTGTAAAATAACGTGAAATAGTTTGCCCGCCGTGAGTGCCCCAACAAAAACGCCAATGTCGTAAAATGGTATAAGAGTAAGATTATGTAAAAAGGGTGTGTATGATTGAACGAGAGTCTCGAAAAGTTGGGGGTCATTACAACGTACAGCGACAGACTACGCGTTCTGTCGTGTGGAGAGTGAGATTCGGTGAAGAGGGGAAATGGAAACGGGAGGGATTCGGAAGCGTGGCGTGCACTGCCCTTACTTTGACCCTATGCGTCCGCAAAGGCGCGAGTTGGGTCGAAGCGGGTGTAGTGTGCTTGGTGGCTTCCAAAAACTCGCTGGCTCACCCATAGCAACATCCGGATGAAGGTGACGAGTGCCATGATAAGCGGGAGCCACGAGGTTAGCCTACGAGTGCTAAGCTAGGACGTGTGTTTGAAGCTTCTTCATTCAGCTCAAGACAACAACATCGCTCAGCTCGCTCTCGCGGGCAAGCCTGCCTCCGTTCCAGATATCACCCTGGGGCGTCAAACCAAGCACGACATGCTTGAAATCGTCATTTGGCGTGGTGGGGCTTAGGATATCGGGAGTGCTGCTGCTGCTGCCGCATACGGTGTCGCCGCGGCTCAGGGAGTCGAGGCTGGAGCTGCTGCCAAGGGTCCACTCGTCGCTGTCGCTGGCGGTGCGTCTCTCGAGGAGACCAAGGCCGTAGGCGCTGGCGCTGCCGTACTCCTCATCGTAGGTCTTGGGGCGGTCACCGAACTCGACATACTCGTACTCCCAGCGGGTGCGCTTCTCGAGCTGGGGGCGAGGAAGCCACCTGACGCGAGAGATGTAGTAGGCGATAGCAGCCATGAGACCACCACCAACGAGATCGACGGCATAGTGGTGGTTGAGGTACATGGTGGCCCACCAGATCCAGCCAACATAGAAGATGAAGAAGTACTTGAACTTGGGGAAGTAGTATTGCATGAACAGCGCCTCAAGGACGGCGTTGGCACCGTGCAAGCTGGGGAAGGCACCGAACGGCAAGGGCGCGGTGGTGAAGCTGGTGGTGTACATGTCGACGCCAAAGAGCTTGTCGATGCGGGCCAGACCGGCGGGGGAACCCTCCATGCCGTAGTGAGCCGGCTCCAAGCCGTGCGCCTTCTCGTACCATGGAGGCGTGCAGGGGAAAATCAGCTGGATGGTGACGGCGAGCATGCACATGTAGCCGAAGGCCCGAGCAAAGACGGGGGTGCTGCCGGGCGCGGCAAAAAGGAAGAGGATAGCGCTGCAGATGGCCGGGAGGGCAAAGTGGCCGATTCCATAAGGGAACCAGGCGAGCAAATCGAGGACAGGGTGGCTGTGGGCCGAGAGAATGTTGGACAAGTTGGCTCCGTAGAGAACGTTCTCGAGCGCAGGGAGGACCTTGACCCAGATGTGAGGACGGTACTCAGGGGCAATGAATCTGCAAGGGCGAGTTGGTTAGCTTTCGTATTTCGAAGGGCCAGCACAAGAAGCTCCGGAACACCACTTACCGGCTGGCAAAGAAGTACAGCAAGTAGGTCCAGATGGGAAGCGAGGGCAAGAAGAATTGCTGGGTGATGGGCATCAGAAGCAGGCCGCCGAGAGCGAGCAGGACGGCCGTCTTGATGATGGGCGCCGAGGGCAAGATGAACAGCGAGAAGAGGATGAAGCCAAGACAGACAACATGCTGGATGTCGTAGATCTTCCATTTCCTTGTTTGCAGAGATTTTATGCTCTCCCACACGTCGAACGAGGTCTTGAGGGCGGCAACATTATCCTGCGAAGCTGTGGATTTCCTACGCAACCGCCGGCGCTGAGGTACTGGGCTGAGAGTCGAGAGCTTGAGGGCTGGCGGCCAGCCGAAGGGAAGCTTCTTCTGCTTCGGCTTGGCCGGGGCGAGGATGGGTTCGAAGTCCTGCATTCTGGGCGGCGGATGGCGGAATCACCAGCGAAACTGGGCGCTAGCGATTGGCGTGAGGGGGGGGGGGGGGGGGAGGAAGCGATTGAATCGAAGTCTGGTGAATCTATTGTCGCTGCATGCGCATGACAGGCTGGTCGAGGTTTTGGTCGAGGTCGCTAATAGATACTAGGGTGTGTTGTAGTCGGCTGGAAAGTGAAGTCTTCCTTTCCTCCTCGATTTCAAGTCGAATGGAGACAAAGAGGGCTGGCTGGCTATAGGTGACGGATCGGCCGGATCGCGGAAATCGGGGTTGGGACGAGTATTTGGTGGTTGTGCGACCTTGACCTTGGATTGTGTACCAAGGGAGTGTAGTGTATAAGTAAAGACGGGAAGTAGGTAGGGGAGGCGGGGGTGAGAGGAAGGAAGCGAGGGAAGTGGTCGTGTGGCAGCGGCTGGTTTGTCCTGGTCAGCAGTCACTGCAAAAGGGCCCCTGGTGCTGCGTCCTTTTGGTGCGTTCGTTCCGGGGAGAAGGGGAGTGGGTGTGTGAGACTGGCAGCCGACGGCGGGGACGGTCCAAGGTGGGCGACGGGTTATTCATAAGGTCCGCCCCGGTAGCTGGTATGACGCCCACTCAGGCCCTGTGAAATAACGCCAAGCCCTATGGAAGGAACTCGGCAGCGCTGCTCGGGCGCTGTTTGGCCAAGCGCACCCACCGAACCCACAGGATCCCATGCCATCATGGATCAGGGACGCAGTCACGCAGTCGCCCGACTACGCTCGCCTTGTTGTAGAACATGCATCTAACCGAGTGTACATTGGATTCCATTCCTCGATTTCAAAGCATGGAAGACATGGCTATAATCGGTTGAGTTGCAAACACCATCAAGATTGCCAGGCAGTAATCATGACTCCTACAAATGAAGCTGGTGCTGACGAGCAGTGCCAAAAAAACCAATACCAACACTGCATCTGATATCATTTCTCCAACTTTCCCCAATGACAGACGGCGGGAACTGGCTGTGTAACGGAAGGCAGTCCAGCGAAACGAATGATGACGCTGATAGGTCCCGACAGGGTCATTAGACTCATGTCGATGAATGTGGCGCACCTATCTCACCAGCAGGAGAGAAAGGAAGAAGAAGAGTCCGAAAAATCCATGCGAATCATCAAAAAGTCCCAAGCCACCCGCATCTTGAACCAACAAGGCGACGAGGACGACGACAAAAACAACAACAACGGTCTTCTTGAATCTCTCCCACACCTCACAAAGACAAGACAAGGGTCCAACAAACAAGTAACATTGACCAAACCAGGTGATCCGTGCTATCCGGCACCAAGGACTCTAGCTGCGAGCTTGCGCCATCCAGCCTTTCCAACCTTTCGCAACCGTAACACCCTCGCATCCCCCTCCCACTGGTCGGCCAGTTCCTAGGTAGGTGTGATACCGAGTACATACTACCTGGTACTGTTAGGCTGCGGGAGTCTCGTCAGTTTGTGGCTACCGTTCTTCGCTTTGTACGCGGACTGTTGTCGTCGTCGTTGATGCAGGGTGTGGACTGTCCCGGGTCGGATGGGCTGCAAGGGGTCCTTGTGCTTGGTTCACGTTAATTTCCCGTTTTCAGGTTTCAACCGCAGCGCCCGGTCTTGGGCCCCGACAGCGACGAGCTCTTGTCGCGAACAAACGCCGAGCGCAAAAAGTGCACCTCGCGCTGTAACGTACTACCTCGAGGTACTTGGCGTCTCGCGCATCACTATCACCGGAGGCGCCTATCCTTCTGTCCCTGCTCCTTGGCAGGATGGCTGGTTCAGTCCCTAGTCAACTCACCGAAATTTACTGCGTGCGTGTCTTTGGAACCTCAACAACAATGGTAGCAGCGTATTGTAAAGGGCCAAGGCGGTAGGTACCGTCTGCATGTCTTGGACTTTTGTGTCCGTTACCAAGGCTCCAATCTGGGGAAACTCAAACTCCGACAGGAAATAAGACAGAGCGTTTCTTCCTTTTTTTTTTTTTTCTTCTTGTGTTGTTTGTTTCTTGCCAACCGTCTGGTTCCTTTCCAATGCAAGACGAAGATCGAAACAAAAATTTATGCAAAGGCGATCCGTAGACGGGAGGACATGGATGTAACCGCTCATCACGAGACAAGAGAAAAAATCCTCATACTCACCTCACCCATCATTTATAAGATGATCATCTCGCTCTACACTAGAAAGCATCTGGAAAAAGCGGCGAGGCAGATTTCCATATTCCAGTTTTGGTCAAAGCTCTCGCGACTCGCTCGCCCTTCTGGCCAACGTTGAAATACCAAAACCGGCGAATCAAAGCAAGGTCCAACAGCCACCAAGTCATTTCTCTTGTTCCTGCGTCGCACGTGGGTTTCTAGTCGGGCCTCTAAAGGAATCTTTTGATCTTTCTTTGATTATTCCGCTCTTCTGCATAACATTGCGGATTTCCGGGCCTCTTGTTGGGCCACCTGCCTGGCCGCCTTCTCTTGAAACACGGAGGCTTTTTCCCTACAGTAATTACCCCTGTTCGTGCATGTAATCCTGGCCGGAGGTTTGTATGCATTTAGAGGCACATATGCACCAGTGGGCACACGCCAAGACTTCCTGCCCCCCCTTAGCGTAGAAATTTTAGAGGCTTTCCAAACTGCTGGCCTACTTATAGAGCCCTAAGAGGCCCCACAAAAGGTGTTCCAGAAAGTGCATATTACACCAAAATGGCGGGCCGTCACCCATGCATTTAAGCATTTATGCAGTTGCTCATACTAAATAATTGCGGCTGGCGATTCTTAAGCATTTAGAGGGCTTTATGCACTTTCAGGTACATGCACGGGCAGGGGTAATTACTGTACTCTGCTGCACCGTCGGCGGTTAACCCCGTGCTCCGCGCTCCGTGGTACAGGGTCCGTGGTCCGTGGTCCGTGGTCCCCGCTCTCCATTGTCCGTTCTCCGGTTCCGATTATGTACTTGACCGGTGCTCATTCGGAATCAAGACTGAAATCTCGGATCTCGGTCCAATTGTACATACGTACGTACTATGTACTGCGTAGATTTCAGCTTGCATTCTCACCTTGGACGGATCGATGCTATTGAAGAACAAAAAAAAACTCTTCTCTTTCTTTTAGTTGCACACCGTACTTCGCCAGCTGCATGCAGCATGAGGCTGTCAAAAACTCCGACTTTTCTTAGTCGCTTGACCAAACATGCAACTCCCGAACCCATCGACCAATCCTGAAGGAGCGGGCACCGTTAGCTGCATTTGCTTACATGCCAACTTGGAGCCTTCCGCGCTTACATTTGTAGCACGAGTGGAGTCTCTGGGTGTCTCTGGGTCCTGGAGCGCTACCCGTAAGGAACTTTTGGAGAAATGGACAAGTCGAGGTTTTCATGCGGAAAGCTTGGCAGTTGGTATTTTATTTTCGTGGGTAATTCTCGGGTCCGTCCGCCATTGCTCCACTGGACTGGTGATTGGTCGGACGTTTTGCAAAGACAAGGGAAAGGGACTTCACATTTTTTTTGTTCGCGGAAAACTTTGATGCCGAAGATCCGCCGTTCACAAGGTTGGGAAACAATGAAAGGTACGCGAACCATGCCTGGGGGGGAGGCCAAAACGTGTGGGTGCGTGGGTCACCGTGATGGAGCAAGGGACAGCGCACCGCGGTGGTGGGCGTGATGGACTCTTTGAGCTGCAATATGAGTGCCGTTCGATTCGAGAACGCATGATCGTCTTCTGTTCGATGGGTGTTTCCCAGCTGAACTTTTCGTATTCAAATCCCGGAATGAAACCGTATCGCTGATATAGTAGGGGCTCTTGTCATGGCACCATTTATGTAGGAATTTCACCTCTGTAGCGTACAAGTCTCGATACTGGTACAAAAAATAAGGGTTTTGTGCTATGGTGCCGATTGCATGCCCAATTGTAAGAAGACTTCATACCCCCTTTTGGCCTTTTGTAACAATCAACACAATGGGAACGCCACGGGTCACCTTTAAACTTCCCTTTGTCTTTCTTTTGTGTTTTGCAATGAACCAAGTACCGCCCACATCCCGCACAAGTCCCCAAATCCAGGGTGAAGTTAAAGCCGACCAGGCCATCCCAAACATTGCCGGGCGCTTATGAACATTGACAAGCACCAGTTTCACAGCACATCCAAACTCCCACTTGGGTTTAGTGTCGAGGAAAGGCGGTCACCCGTAGCGTCTGCTCCCATCTTCCACCACCTACCTACCTACCCTGCGGATTTCCCGATCAGGTCTGTAATCTGGAGTGTTCCCTTCGCAAGTTCAAAGCCATATCTGATCGATCACCGTCGCCATCGGTCGGTCGGTCAATCAGTTTGATGTTCTCTTTCCCTGTCGTAGTTACGCCTTGCTGCCTACCAGGCTGACGGTGGATGGTGGTCGGCGAGCGGGCGAGCGACTGCTGAGACGGACGGACAGGCTTCATCCTCCCTGCCTCTCTGTCTTCTGACCTCTTTCCCATCCTGTCTTTTAGATTTTCCAGGTGGACAAGCATCTCCGCACCCATCATTCCCTGTCGCTGTAGCTATCGTGGGGGAACCTCGTCCTCACCGGGGGTTTACCCTTTTTGTATCTCCCTTTTGGGGTTTGCGTGTTTCTATTTACGTGTATTCTCCCGTGCCCTTTTCATCAGTATGGCATTGATGATGGGATAGATTAGGTTAGTGCCGTAGCGGGCACAATCGGCGGGCGGCGGGGTTATCAAGAGGACCGACCGGGTCACAAGGTGACGGGTGACCTTTTGTTAATGATGATTGATGATGTTAAACTCCGCAGTTGGGTACCAATTTTCCGAGCGCTCAGCTGTAGGGAATATCCGTGTCTGTTTGAAAATGTTTCTAGAAAGTTGAAATCGAAAGACTGGAGATTGGAAGGTTGGAAGATTGAACGGCGGTCATGGCATTGTCCTCTCTCCTTTGTTTCCCAATTGCATATGAACGCCGCCAAATTAAACAATGTGCGGATTTACACCACTTTTTACAACCTCATACAGCTTACCATTACTTCGTGTACATAGGAGACTACATTACTGTAACTCCAGCTACCTACCTGCTGAGCTTCTGTATGTGCATATACCGGTATTTACATACATACACGACACGACACCACACGACACGACACCACACGACACGACACCACACCACCGCAACAGCAAATGCAACAAGTAAATGCACTGAACAGCCGACGACCGACAGCGATGTAGCTGAACCGACAGACATGCTGTTGTACTTGAAGACGACGGACATGGAAGTCACCTCTTGCAAAGGAAAAAAAAAAAAAAAAAACGTGGTTCCGCTCCGCTAGCGTAGAGGTAGCTCCGAGAAACACCACTGCAGCACTCCACACTCACCGAAAAGGCCCGCTTACGTACACAGAAAATCTCTATCCCCGTAGCGGTAGCCGTACGTGCACTAGCTGTAGCGTCCCGATAGTTGCATAAATATCCCTAGAGGTACACTACACGCGTATGTACATCGATACCAAACTTTGATCAATGCAAAGATCAGGGATGGATGGATTGGGCCTGACCTGACCTAAGAAAGAAAAAAAAAAAAAAAGAAAAAAACCTCTGAAGCTCCCACCTGTACTAAAAAGGCCCAAGGCTTGTGAAAAGGAGTGGCTGGTATTTTGACTACTGACTGTCGGACCCCTGCAGGTCACGGCATTGATTTGATCATAACGTGTCCGTGTCCGTGAGGTGGTAACGCCGAAAATTTCACACAAGTCACTATCTAAAAGTAGTTGATGGACCTGATGATCTGTAGCATACCTACTGCGTATCTAATAAAATGGAGGAAAAAAAAAAGAAGAAAAAGTCATTCCAAATCCCGATTCAATTTTCAGGGGTTCGAGATGTGTGTTGTAGTGTATGCATTCTTCAGTTAGGAGGAGTCGGTTTTCAATCTCTGATCTTGGGGTTTGATGTGTTCTGGGGACTCTTGCTTGGCCTTGCCTTGCCTGGGGACGGCGACGCCTGCCTGCCTGCCTATATGCCTGCCAAGATGTTCCAGATGATATTATGTCGTGCAGTGAGTGTAGTGTAGTTGTATGCGTGTTGATTATTGTAAGCATGGGCTACGTATGTATGTGCTATGTGCTACTGTGTAGTCAGCGACGGCGACGACGAGTTAAATTGATTTCTTTACCTTTCAACAACCTTACTCCGCCTCGTGAACATGTACGCGGAAAGTTTTGAGGAAATTGGAATTTGTGTTTGATAGGTTGGTAGCAACTTGCCAAATGAATGAAAGCCACTCACTCAGCCTCAAAGGATCAAACAAATATTTATGCGCTTTCCGCGTATCCCAAGACTTCCAAGATGGCTAGTGCTGACCAACCTTTAAAAGTCCCAAGTTCAATAAAGTGCTGTCTGTGGCTTAGACCTTGGTAAACAGTGATGTATTCCCCTTGCGAACCCCGAGTACGCGTATGGTTATGGAGATATAAGGGCAGTGCAGCATAACCGACAAAGTTTTGGGTAGGTATCGTGTGAAGTTTTACTCCAAAATGCGAACATGCAAGAGCCCCGTCATGAGCCGCAAGCAGATGCCAAGATACCCCTGAGACGTTCGGAAGGACGCGAACACCCAACGACGACAAACTTGAACAATGGCGCCCCAAACTGTCTGCACAAAGAGAAAACAAACAAACTTTCCATTATTAGCATGTCAAAGAAGGATAGATAGAACCAAGTCAAACTAATACGTCATGAATCATTGAAGCTAGAGCTAGAAGTAAGAGGCTGGAAAGAGAGTAAAGCCTCATCTTGCATACCTAATGATCCTTGGTCCTGGATACCTGGCAATGACCTGTTGAGCTCGTACTTGTGGAGGTCCTTGATGACTTCCAGTACATACAACAAGATAAACCTCCTGATTGCTAGCAGATGCTATCTCGCTATTAACCACCCGTCTCTTTCGCCACGCCGGCAGATCCATCGCCCTTGGCATCATATTTCATCATCATCGTTGTCATCATCAGCGAGCAACGGAAGACCACCGTCCATGAAGCAAACTAGTAACTGATACTCATAAAGCAAAACGCCCGCCGGTTATTCACTTTGGTATAAAATCCCGAGAAAAAAACATTCATACTAAGCACAGAACCCGCTGATCACAAAAAGGAACTCAAAAGATTATAACAATAGAACAAAACCAACCCCATTTGTCAATGACGAAAGACCCAGAAAGTGATCATCGCTTAACACTAGTCCCATTCCACAAGCCTTTACCAGTCTCGACAACCTTATTCTCGATACTGCCCGGCCGTAGGATACTCGGCACCCCCGCATGCTGTGCAATCTGTGTGTTCCCATGCACCGGCGCTGGCGATGATGATGTTGGCGCTGGCACCGACGCATCCTTCATAAGAACATCGTCCCCGTCTCTAGAGCCTCCCTCCCCTTCCGGCTGCGTCGCGTAGCCGCTGTCCTTGGTGACATTGCTGCTCGCCGTTGACACCATGCTCGCCTCCTTCCCGAGCGTTGGGCCGAGCGCTACCGCCAATCCGTCATCCACTCCTGGGCCTCCTCCTCCACCTCCTGCTGCTGGGGGCACCGCACCCGCACCCGCTGCCGCTTTCTTCGCGGGCTCACGGCTCCTTCCGCCGTTCATGAACTGGCCCTCACGCAGCTTGTTAATAGCACGTACTGTATCGATAGCCGCATGCAGCGTCCTTCTCGCATTAAAGTTCTTCTTGACGGTCGGCAGCAGGTTAGCGCCCTTATCGGCCTCCGCACCATCGGTTCCGCGGGCCCAGCCAGCAACGAAGGGGTGCTGCAGTGCCTCGTGGGCGGTCATGCGCTTGGCCGGGTCGATAGTCAAGCACCTGCGAATAAAGTCCTTGGCGTTGTCCGAGACGCCGCGCCAGTACTCGAGTGGGGTGAAGGAGTAATCGGCATTGAGGATGGCCTGCATCTCCTCAAAGTCCGAGTCACGGTCGAAGGGGGTGTAGCCGCACAGCAGGAAGTAGGTGATGACTCCCAAAGCCCAGATGTCGACGGGCTTGCCGTGGCCGGTCTTTTTGAAGATCTCTGGGGCCATGTAGCCGGGTGTGCCGCAGGTGGTGGTCAGGACATGGAATTGCTCCTCGTCCATGATCCGGCTGAGACCAAAGTCGGCGATCAGCAGGTCGGCGTTGTCCTCGGGCGTGCGGAAGAGGAGGTTCTCGGGCTTGAGGTCGCGGTGGACGATGCCATGGTCGTGCAGGTAGGCGACGGCGGACAGGGTGGCGCGGATGAGGTCGGCGGCGTCGGATTCGTAGTAGGAGCCTTTGCGGCAGATGCGATCGAAGAGCTCGCCGCCGAGGGCGAGGTCGGTGACGAGGTAGAGGTTGTTCATGGTCTCGAAGTAGTCGACGAGGGTCAGGATGTTCTGGTGGCCCATGGACACCTTCTTGAGCACGGCGATTTCATTGCGAACCTGTAGTCTGCTGGTTAGGATAAGGTAACGGATCGCACATGGCTTTGGATGATGGAAGGAATGGCGGCGTACCATGTGTTCCCGGCCGGCCATCAGGCGCTTGTTAATCACCTTGGCCGCATAGTAGCGACCGGTGTCTATGTGTACGCATTCCTTAACGACCGAGTATGAACCAGCGCCCAAAGTCTTGCCGACTTTGTATCGACACGGCTGCACTTCCGGTTGTCGACCGTTGGCGGCACTCATGGTCGCTAATATGTAAAGGGCTTTGTTGATGGTCGATCAATGCTCGGCGTTAGGGTCCAGCTGCTACACTAGGCCGTCGCAAGAAGGGGCAATCTCGTCGAAGAAGTAGGCAGTAGTTATTCGAATGAATCTATCAAATTTGCGAATGGCTAGAGGCACCGTACTATCGGATTGAGTCGAGAGTGAGAAGCCGCGTCCGTTCTATATGCGGTCACCGATCTATTGCTGCGAGATGTATGTAGGTGGAAGGGAAGCAGTCGGGCTGCTGTGGGTTAACCGTACTTAGTTCGAGACAAGCAGGCAAATCAATACAAGGCTCGAGGTGTGACACGAAGAGGCTGCTCGCCCTAGATTGTGTCCGTTCGTAGTTTCTGTCACCGTAAGCCAACCGATCAGTCAGGATGATATACCTAGCGGGGGGTAGACCCCTCAATACGAAGGGACTGAATCTGTGGACGGGAAGGGTTCAGTTAGACCGAGACGGGGGAGGTACCTTTCACTTATCGATACGGGTGCTATAGGGTTCCTTGTCTGGCTGCCTTGTCCTCGTGATTCACATATACCCGTCGTCCTGAGCTGTTTGACAAAGAATTGCATCTGACCAAGTGCGGCTCATAATCATAAAATAATCCTCGCTATATCTACAAAAGTTGTGCAATGCCTTGTTGTTACCAGATTGTCTCAATGTCTGCTGTTAGCCGCCGCCGTATGGCCATTTCAGCTGCCCCGCATTCTCCTTACATGGTGGGTATCTCCTGGGTCTTGGCACCGTCCCGCTTTATCCAGGAGTCCAGCTCGTCGGCTAGGTCCCGTCCGGAGTCGGGGCCGGTCAACTACTCCACTTTTTTTTTAAACAACAAGCTCCTGTTCCGCGCGGAGACATCATATCCGCATCACCACCGAGTCCGTTCTCCGGAGTTCCTCACATCAACTATCGGCCTTGGCCGGAGCTATGAGCTCAATCATGATGCAACCACAGGACTCCATCTGTCGCTGTAACCGCCCGCAAACCTCATGACCATCATCCACCGTCCACATGGCCAGTACTGGAGCCTTGAACGGAACCCAAGCTGGCAAGAGGATACTGCGGGATCGCTATACCATATACCAAGAAAAATTCCCAAGAAAAATAAACAAAGCATAAATCCTAGCTCAGTTGGATAGCGGACGGCGCGTGGTAGCTGTGGGAATCATGCCGTAGACATTACCTACTCGCAGAAAGTCCATCTTCACTTCCTCTTGTCGTGTCTGACCTTCTTTCCCTTCTTGTCACCCCTGTCCCTCTTCTCGGACTTCTCCTCTTCATATACGGGCTCGGCCTTGCGCTTCTTGGTCTTGACACTGACAAGCGGGTTGGACTTTCCTTCCTTGGTAGCCTTGGCGACCCGCTTCTCAGCCTCTTTCCACTCAGCATCTCCTCCTTCGATCTCGTACTGATCCAGGGGAAGAGAGTCAATGAGCTCTCTCTGCTTGGCCCTGATGGCCTTCATGGCCTGGTCTCCACCTTCGGCAAGCTCGTCATCCAGGTTCTGGTCAAGGGGCACGAAGTTGTTCTCAATAATCTCGTCATCGTGAGCGGCAGACGCGTTCTCGGCCGAGACACCGATCTGTTGAGGCATCTCCTTGGCAATAGCACCCTCAACCAGTGACGCAAGGTGCGTGCTGATCTTGCGCATGATCTTGATGAAGATAGCCAGGAGCTGAGAGGACGGGAGAGTGAGCTCTCCAGCAATGGCATCGATCTCCTTGCGCTGGAGACCGATGGCCAGCAGAATGGCCTGCTGGAGACCGCTGAGCTGGAGGTTTGCCCTAATACGGCCCTCGAAGAAAAGCTGCGCGATGCTGGGGATAAGATCGAGAACGACATGGTAATCGAGGAGGCCATTGGCATAACTCTCAAGACGCTTGTGGTCAAAGGGCGTCAACAGCTTGTCCAACTCCGCCTTCTCCAACGGCGTAGGCTCGTTGGAAGGGTCCAGCTTGGCACCGGCACTGGCAGACTCCTCGATGGTCAACGCCAAGATGGCCGGGAACTCGCGGAACTTGTAAGACAGCAGAGAGAGGAAACGGCGGTGGAAGTCGTTGGCGAAAGCGCCCAGCCAGCTGGGGTCAGTGCCATCACCAAGAGGGCGCAACATGACGCAAGTGTGCTCGCCGGTCAAGTCGTTGGGAGTTTGCCTTAAGTATACTGGCGCAAAGGAAGCGCGCTTCCAGAATTTGTGGAGCGGTTGGGTAAGACCGTAACTGACACCAATATACTCGAGGGGCTCGGGGCGACGCTCGGCAAGCTTGGCGAAAAGGGGCGGGAGCTCGTTCATATCGCGAACCTTGATGTCGTCAAAGAGACTGGCGTTCGCAAGTTCAGCGTCCGTCACCCGGGGAGCACTCTTAGGTACGACAGTGCCAGCTTCCTCGGAAAGGTTGGCAAACTTGCCCTCGTAGTAGTCCACAAGCAGCTGAAGCGCCCTCGAGCCGTAGCCCATAGACACGTAGTCGGGATTGGTAGCGATTCTGACCACACGAGCACCAGAAAGTGAGGCGAACTCATCGTCCTGGAACTGCTGGCTGACAAGCCAGGGGATCAAATCACCCGCAGGTTGCGAGCCCCTGCTGAGGCTGTTGAGGATGCTCTGCTTGCTAATCTTACCCTCGAGAGAGACTTGGATTACACACAATGGCTCGGGTAGCCTGCCCTCAACGATAGGAGCAGTAAGAACGAAGAGCTCGTGGGCCGGAGCATCACTCATAAGCTGCAAATCGTTGGGCGAGTTCTTGTAGTGACTGGCGACATAAAGCGCAACCATCTGCTGCAGGAATTTCTCGGAAACAGGGTGGAAGGAGAAGAGGGTGTCACGGTTGACATGGAGCAGCTCGCACTGAGAGGGATCGGGACATCCCTGAGTGTTGAGCTTGGACCTGGGCAGCGTGGCGTCCAGGCAGAGGAGAGTGTTCAACCACTTCTCAACCGGATCTCCTTGGGCGTAACGGATGGGCTCAGAAAGAGTGATCTCCTTGAGCGACCGACCACCAGTGAAAACGGTCTCTGTGTCCTTAGCCGCCTTGCCACTTGTCCTGTCGACCTCAACGGCGTCCTTAACACCGGCACCAGTCCTCGACTGCTCCCTAAGCTGCTTGATAAGCTTGAGAGAGAGTGAGCGACCAGTACCCTCGTAACCGCTGATGGTGGAGGCCATGAAAACAAGATAAGGACCCATGAGCTTCTTGACGAGGGGCAGAGGGATAGCAGCAGCTTCATCGATGACGAGCAGTTCAGCCTGGCCAAGGACGTGGGCGTCTTGGGGGCGGATGTACTGGATGGTCTGGCGGTGGTTCCTGTGGATGTTGACTCTAACGATGGCCTTGTTGAACTCGGGGTTCGTCGACTGGATGATGGAGTAGTCGGCATGGTCCTTGTAGTCCAACGCGTCGAATCCCTTGAAGACAAACTCGAACAATGTCTTCAAGTTTTCTGGCGAAGGAGACGTAATAAAAATGTTGCTATAACCGTAAGCGACGGCGGCCGCAATAGCGACACCCATCGCAGCGGATTTACCACGACCACGAGCCGCAGTCAGCGTAACTGTGTTGCGCAGAGTCTTCTCCGCAATAGCATCGACGAAGGTGAGCAGCGCTTTGGCCTGGTCAGTTGTACGGGCCAGCTGGACGAGCGATCCGATGGGCTGAGTATCCTCAAGCGACTCCTTGATCTTCTCCAACTCCTTCTTTGCCGGGTTGACCTCCTCGTCGTCGGTAGGGCGTGGTAGCGCCTTGACAGCCTTGCCGCCCGAAATGGGGAGAACGTTAAGCTCGTCGTCAACAACCAAGCAGGACTCGCAGCTGCCGAGGGAAAGGATAAAGCGCTCGTTGAACCTCGCAACAACGTCGTCGTGGGCTTCGGTTCGGTATCTCGAATGTACGTCCATGGAAAGAGTGTAAAGCTGCTTCAAGCTGTTCATGCCCTTCAAGAGCAGGATAACCAAGCCGCCACCTTCGACAGTTTCGATTGTACGGGCTAGGATATTAGGCGTCATGGCCTCAAAATCTTGCAAAATGCACATGCCGTAGGTGTTACCGAGAATCTTTTCGGTTTCCTTGTAGTAGACATATCGGATATCGTTGAGGGAGATGAAGAGTTCGAAAGGGTCTTCGGAGTTGGCCTCGCGAACGCCACGCTTGATTTCCTTCTTGATCTTGTTTTCGCGCTTCTTGCGATGACTTGTGAAGCCGAGAAGCTTGCTCTTGTACGCCCAGAGGACGGACTTGTTATGCTTCATGTTCGCATTGGAGAGGATGTAGTAAACTGGAAAGCTGGACGTCAGCCATCACCGGTAGGTAGATTATCGGGGGAAGGCAGTCGCGGTCGAGGGTAGAGGATCTTGGGACGAGGGAGTCGACATACGGTGGACAATGGCCTCCTTGGAGTGGTCGCCGACGACGACGAAGAAGCTACGCTTCTTCTCCTGCATGCCATTGCGAATGAGCGCAGGAATGCGCGAGTCACTGTACGAAAAGAAAGCAATTAGTTAGCCCCGAGACACAATGAACATTGATGATAGAAGACGAAGAACTGACATGACTTTTTGTGACATGGTGAAGACTGGTGGCAGATCCGGACTGTCACACTTGTCAAGAGGAGCAAGAGAGACCCAAGTTCCTCCAACTCAAGACGGACTCGGGGCAGACAACAACAGGCAGGCGACCCGACAAGTCAAGACGGCTGGCCATCAAGGGCCCAAAAAAATTATGCCCACCGATAATTCTGCCGGGCGGTAAGATCGTTCTGGCTGCCAGCCTTACCGTTTCCAGTCAAGCGTCCTGCGGCTCTGGCAGGGACAAGGGCGATGCACGGATCACATACGTCAGGTACGGGGTCGGGGTGATAACAGAAATGATAACCGACAGAAGAGGCGTCTCATCCTCAACCTCACCTCGAGGTCACTGGTTCTTTGGGTACAAAAAGATATCAGATTCTATCATCCAGCCAGATGGTTTGGTGTGTTTTTAGATATTTGGTTTCTGTCCATTTGGATCATGCGATGCACCACTGCACAATTGTCCTAACACTTAGTTTAGTAGTCAGACCCTCCGCCCTTCCTGGACTGTTTCTTGGAGCTGAGGAATTTTTTCTCCTTCAGTCGAGTCTCTCTTGCAGTTTTCTTTCTGCAAGTGACTCCAGTGTCAGGGTGGATCTACAATACGTAAAGGATAGTTTGGATGGGCTGAAGAAAACATACAGTGCCTCATATTTACGTGCTTTGTCGGGACTCGACTCTGCGGGGACCGTCTTCGCGTACAGATTCATGAGTTCGTCATATAGCTTCTGGTGGTTCTCTGCTTGATTGGCACTTCTGCTGCGCTCGGTCTGTGCCTGTATAGTTATAGAGTCATTGCCCCTGGTATAGTATTTTGAGTGTCGAAGTTCGGCATGTAAGATCTTGGGAAGATGAGCGATGAGTTTCGAGATGGGCCATGTAGTTGTTGCTTTTGTCTCTGTCCTATTGGAAGTGTCAATCTGGATGGACAAATACCTGGCATGACAGCAGCTAACTGAAGGCTACGACTAACTTGTTTACATGCTGGCCTCCGGGCCCGCTGGAGCGTGAAAAGGAGGTGTCGCCTTGTGGAAGAGTGCTTGGGTGGAATGACTTGTGCCACCTGCGTGCTTCGGCTAGCTCTTCTGGGTCAAACCCAGCGTCAAATGCTTGATGTCGGACCAGCCGTCTACTGGTAGTCACCATCGCGGCACTTGGATTCAGGGCCCAAGCAGGGCGCATGCGGACCATGGGCGAGAGGCTGGCAAGGAGCCTCATCCTGATGCTGTTCATTGTGTCCAGGCAGCTATTTGCATCTACGACTCGGCGGAACCAAGAATTTGGTGTATTGGCAGTGGAGGCTCGGAATATGTTCTCACCTACATCGATCCGATGGTATTAATCAGTCGGGTGTAAGTGGTAGAGATAGCTCTGGGCCAGGTGCAGTGCCTGGTTTGGCCCGGCATGCGACTCCATCTGCCGGGGCCATGGACTGCACTACCTACTTAGTGTAAACCTAACACACGGCAAGGTGGAGCCCACCGTCCCCCCACTTTCATCAGTTTCCGTTGCTTTCCACTTCGTCGAGAATTTCTTGAAGTTTGGATCAGCCTTGCAGAAGCCCCACCTCTCGGAGATGCCAAGAGAGCTTCCCATCCCCCAATTTCTGTGTGTCTTCTCCCGGCATCTTCAGCCTGTCGACCCGAACGTACCGTCCTTCAATCATGGGCTTCCTTATCAAAACCTGGCTTAACCACCATTGACACATCTTTTATCTTGTCTACTCCTTCCTGTTGGCAGCTTCTTCACCTCAGCTCAAGCTCGATCTTTGCGATCCATTGAACAGTCAGCGATTTAACAGTGTGGCCCTCATCCGACACGTCCAGATAAGGCTACCTCTACACAAGTACTTAAACCTGGAAGAGTAGAACGAAGCTCCGTCCGCCGCTCTCCGCTTTTTGTTCCTCCGCTCCCTCCCTCTCTCCGCCCCGCAATTGGAGAACGCGATCGGTTCTGACTACCGTGACTTCTTTTCGCGGCTTTCCCCTTCTTCCACTTGCACTTCTGCAAACTCGTTTCTCCAAACATTGTTATTCTTTGACTTAAGTTCAGTTGCAGCTCAGCTCAACTTCTGTTTCCCATTACTTCAGGTGCATTGCCCTTCACGCAGCTACATCTCGCTGCCACACTACACTACAGCCCACTCCAAGCCATCAACCTCGTCGCCCTTGCGGTGCTGCTCTCTCCAACAAAGGTCAAAATCCACTATAGCTCTTGTCTTCTCCTCTCACCTACTTAGTTCACTTTCAGTTTGGTGATCTAGGCGAAACCTCCAAACAGCGTTTCAAGGTCCAAACCACGTTGCTCCATTTCACCAGTTACAAGCCCAAACAACTTGCTCTGGCCACCTTCACCTTCAGGGAACAAGACCTCTTGCGATCACAATCACTTTCCGTTATTGCCCCACGTCGCTACCGCTTCTCACCATCCTCGCAACAAGACCCAGCCAACCCTTCAAACTATTCTAATCCCCCTTGATGCCCGGGCAGACGCCAGAAGTTGTTGCCTCTGCCGATCTAGATCCTCTCTCGCCCAAGCCAATCGCCCTCCACAGCACCTCGCCGACCCTGGTCCCAAGGCTACAGGACCACGCTGCCGCTATTGACGCGGTAGTTGAGGAATTAACCAGTCAATTAACCAATCCGAACCTTACGTCTCAACCCTCGTACAACTCGTACATCTCGCCCGCCATGCCAGAGCCGGTCCAAGAATCTTCCGATGTGTCCGACACCATAGTAGTTGCCGGCGAGTATTCGGAAGATGATGACGACAGCCTTGATGCGTATGATGAGGACGGGCAGGAACAGGGCCAGGAGCAGGGGAACAAGCCAGAGACGGGCAGCGATGATTATGCGCACACCTTTGATTCGCCCACAGACCAAGGTGAAGGTGAGGCCGACGAGGCGCAGCCAGATGTATCAAAGGCTTCAGAAACTAAGATGAATGATTCTTCCACGCCTGAACCTTCGAAGACTCAGCCTCCCACTGCACCTGCCCCTCCTTCTGATCCTTCATCGTCTCCTCCAGCCAAAGTCACAAGCCAAACCCAGCCCCATTCTGAAGCCGAGCAGCTCCCAGCCCAGACCAACGAATCGCTTCAGTCTCTAGATGCGCCATCTGATTTCGCTCCCGCCGCCCCCCACCAGCATCTCCAAAGCTCAAATCCCGATCCTGTACCCGATGCCGCGCCCAGCGGCACTTCTTCCATGGCCGAGGTGCCTTCCGCACCAGATTCCGGCGAGATCCAAATGCCAGATGCTCCTCCTGCTCCTGATGTCCAGCCCTCTACTAGAGACTCTGCTGCCGCTTCAAATAGCCCGACCCTGGCAAATGAAGATGATGACACTGCCGTTGATATCCAGAAGCTCGTGGACAACATCACGGCCAGAGCTGCCGCATCCCCCACCACGGCTTCTGCCTCATCTGTAGCAGCTGCTTCAGCCAAACCGCCTGCCACTCAAACTTCCCAGAACGGGCCAAGCACCTTGAATGTTTCCCATTCTGCTTCGCTTCCACCTAAACCTCAAGGCGGCCTACCTGCCATCCCACCTCAGGCCCATCACTTTCATCCCCGACCCCATAACTCTGTACATGCCCAAGGCTCATCTCCCAGCGTTGGACCTGGGACACCACGTACTGCGTACATGCCACCTGGCGGCTCCGGTATCGGCAATGAAGCCATCTCATCTCTGCCTCCCATTCCACCCAATACCTTCAATAATGCTCCAACCCAACCCTACGCATCCGCGCATAACTCCCGACATCTTCCGGGGCCTGGTAACTCTCACATAAGCAACATTTATGCGCCAGCAAGCGATCAAGACTACGAAAAGTTCCTTGCCGATGAGAGGCAGTACACATTGGAGGCTAGATGGGAGCAACGATTCCCTGAAGGCTCGCGTATCTTTATTGGTAAGTGCAACACTCGCTTGTCTTGTTTGGCGGTGGCATGTACTGACCTGTAGTGTAGGTAACTTATCGTGTGAGAGAGTCTCAAAACGCGAAGTCTTCGATGTCTTTAGCAAGTTCGGACGCCTTGCACAGATCTCTCTGAAGAATGCATATGGTTTCGTACAATATCATACCATTGAGGAAGGTCTTGCTGCTATTCGCGGCTGCCGCGACGTCGAACTCGGTGGACGTGCAATCAGTAAGTGGATTTACTCCTAGCAGTTGTTACCACCAACCTTTAGGCCTGAAATTCCATCTTTTTTGTTGTGTAGGGTGTAGCGACTTGGGTGAAGATGAATGCCAGCTAACCGTCTCGAAGATTTGGAGATATCCAAGAAACAGGATCGAACTCGGAAAGAACACCCTGAGCGCGACCGTGAACGTGAGCGAGAGCGGTCGCCTGACCGCCGCTTGCCACGTGATAGCCGTATAAGAGACCGCTATGAGGCGAGGGATCCGGGCTGGCGTAGAGATGACTACCGCCCGGGTCCTGGGCGCTCACCTTCTCCTCACCGAGGAAGCCGAGACGGCCGATATGCTAGGGGCTCCAGAGACCGTGACTTTGGCCCTGGATATGACAGCCGCCGATCCAGATCGCCGCCATCAGTCCGCTATTATGATAATGGCTATCGACGCAGAGATGACAGCCCGCATCGGCGCGTGCCATCTAGCGAAGAGCTTGACATGCCTTTCCGCTACGGAGCCGATGTTCCAGATGTTCAGCTTGTCCTCCTTGGAGACGTACATAAGGAGTTCGTCTCGTGGGTTCAGAGCGTCTTCCATTCATATGGGTTGAGGACAAATGTAATTTACGCGAATCCGCGCTTTCCCCGGGAGCCGTTGATACAACGTCAGATGGTGGAAGGCGTGCATGCGGTCAGTTTTCTTGACCCTAATTCACCCAGCAAACAACAGCTCGACATTCGGGTGTTTACTCGGACCGCCACCAGCATCAACTTCGACGATTATAAGGTAACGCCGCATCAGGCTGCTGCGTTGGTGGTAGACAAGAAGCGCATCCAGCCACCGCAGCCGCCGCCTACCTACCCAGTCAACAATTATGGCCACGGGTATCGCCCAGAGGTTCCACCTCCCGTCAGCTATCCATACCAACAGCAGCCCTACGCCATCCCTCCGGCTCCGGCACCTCAAATACAGCAGCTGCCTGCCCCAGTGCAAGACATCTCGAGCGTGGTTGGTCAGCTCAACAACGAATCCCTCAGCGCACTCCTGGCCACTTTGACACAATCTCAAGGTATGGCTCCGCAACCGCCTCATCCAGCCATGCCCTATGGCGCGGCCCCGCCGGCTCCTGCAGCTGCCCAAGCTGCCCAGATCGACATCAACACTTTGCTCGGAAACCTGAGGAGCGCCGCCAATCCGGGAGCTCCAAGTTATGGCGACGTCCCAGCATATGGGGTCGGTTCTGCACCCCCGGTCCCGACGGGCTACGATGCCCAACAAGCACAAAAGCTTCTTGACCAGCTCAGACGCATTGCTCCGTAGGGCTGTGATGCTAACAATGATGCTGTTTTCAGGACACAAGTTGTCGCGTTGCACTTAGGTACTCAGAGATTCGAGGAGCTGTTATGCATCTTGACATGTGTTTTTAGTCCTTTCATAAAAGAAAAAGGAGGCTATGGATAATAGACACCCCAATCAGTATTTTACATATCACATTCTAGGATCGGATGGAGCGTGTTACAACAAAACAAACCCCTTCTTGTATTTGTATGTAAAGTGTTATTTTTTTTTCTTTCTTTTTGCCAAGCCGCCATCATGGATATGGGCACTCGTTGCTTATCGTTGTTCGGTCATTTCTCGTGGAGTTTCCACATCTTGCATTAAACCCAGCGGCATATTTCTGAATCAGCAGTGTTTTCATCGCTTGGCCTGTTATTTCTTTTTCTTCTTCTTCTTTTCCCCTTCTTATTCCTCGCATTTCCTGGGTGTCGTGGAAGCGGAAAAGCGGAAAACGGCAAAAAGGAAAGGATAGAAGAAGTCAGGACAGTTCAGGTAGAGGTGCCTAGTTTGACGACTGGGAGAAAACTAAAATTCTGTACTTGGGTTCTATTCGAATAGGCAGGCACAGGCAACGCTCAGGCAACTCAGAAAGAGGAAAGCGAAAAATAGATCACCTGTACTACCACTACTCACAAACATACAATCTCTGCTCAAGCGGTGCTGAACTGGACTCGGTAGGTTTGATGCCGCTTGTCCCCCGGTCGTGCAATGATGAATGGATGGATAGGTGAGGCTGTTCGAGAGATGGTAGAGATTTTAAAAGGAGGTGAGGAGATTAAGTGAGCTTGGTAACAACAAAAGAAGAGAGGTGAAAAGATGGTGAAGGAATCCTGAAAAAGTTAATCAAGATGGAAGTATGAGAGGAACAAGAAGAGAGGTGGGTAGAATATACAAGGAAATACGTAAAGGAAAAGGTAAACAGAGAGAGGTAGGCAGACATGAAAAAAGAGATAAAAGGAGAAAGGCACAGAGATAGCGAGGTAATCAAATGGGAAGCAGAATACCTAGCAACTCACACACTCGCTGAAACCGCATGGGATATAGGTCTCGCTGCAGTGACACTCGAGTCTGACTCCCTTTGAATTACAGCACTCACCTCAACTTCAATCCGGCCGCAATGTTCCTTGGGCCAACCGCCTACCCTACTTACATAGTACAGCACGTACCAAGCATGTCCGTTCGTCTATCACAGGATTAAATTCAACAACGAGCCAAGAACTATTCAGTCTACTGACCCATGACAAATCCTACGAACATCCATAGATGGGAAGCACTCTAACCGGACAACGCTGCCACTTCGATTTGCTCAAAAGTAAGCAGACTTATGCAGCTGTGTCTCGAGCTATCTGTAAACATACCGCATAGGAGTACAGTGTGGATAGGTATATAAAGTATAAGAGAAGCCCATGAAAGAGGAAAAAGTAATGCCAAAGAAACCGTTAACCCCAATATGCTTTTTTCCAATAAATCACACGATAAATATGATACCCCCCCTTTCCCCATCTTTAAAGCTTCATACCAGTCATCTTGGCAACGCGCAAGCTCTGCCTTATGCTAAGATCAAGCATAATCTCCTCCGAGCCACCGGGGATGGCATAAGCCCTGACATCACGGTACAGCCTCTCGACCTTGCCGCCCTGGCCACCGCGGGAGTAGGATAGACCGCCGAAAATCTGGGAGGCCTCGCGGGCGCAGAACTCAAAGGTGACGGTGGCCTGGGCCTTGAGGGAGGCGATGGCGCCGCCGAGACGGAGCATGGCCTCGGTCTCGCCCATCTTCTCGCACTGGTAGATGAGGTTCTCGAGCCAGTTGTACGAGGCCTCGATTTGGCGGGCCATGTGGGCGAGCTTGAGGCGGATGACGGGGTGCTCGATCAGCTTCTTGCCAAAGGTGCGGCGCTTGTTGGCGTACTTGACCGACTCCTCGTAGCAGACACGCGAGAAGCGCAGGCACTGGATGATGATGCCGATGCGCTCGTGGTTGAAGTTGGTCATGATGACGCGGAAGCCCTGGTTCTCCTTGCCGATCAGGTTCTCGACGGGGACCTTGACGTCCTCAAAGGTGATGTAGGTGGTGCCCGAGGACCACACACCCTGGCAGTCCATGCGGCGGGTGGACACGCCGGGGAAGTCACGCTCAATGAGCAGGAGAGAGACGCCGTTCATGCCGGGGCCGCCAGTACGCACGGCCGTAGTGAAATAGTCCGACCAGATACCGTTGGTGATCCACTTCTTCTCGCCGTTGACAATGTAGTGCTTGCCGTCCTCGGTAAGCTTGGCCTCGCAGGTGAGGTTGGCAACGTCGGAACCGGCGTCGGGCTCGGTAATGGCAAGGCAGATGCGCTTGTCACCATTGAGGATGCCGGGCAGGATACGGTCGACAAGGGGCTTCTTGCCGAACTTGACGAGGGGAGGGCAGCCGATGCCGAAGCCGCCAATGACGTTCCAAACGAAACCACCGGAGCCGGTACGAGAGAGCTCGTCGGTTACGAGCATCTCGTGGAAGAGATCCCACTTCTCGGCGGGGACGGACTTGATGGGGTTCTCGACATAGTTGCTCTGGTACTTGGTGCCCAGCAGACCGGCGAGGTAGCCGCGCTTGCCCATCTCCTTGTAGATCTCGGCAGGAACCTCCTTCTTCTCATCCCACTCGGTGACATAGGGGTCAATGGCGGTCTCGACCCACTCGCGGATCTCGGCACGGAGGGCGGCGTGAGTCTCGTTGTAGTAAGGAGAGTGGTACTAGTGGAGCAAAACAGTGAATTAGCCGAGGCACATGCAAGGAAATGGATTCCAACTTACGCTCTGGTACCAGCTGGGGTCAGCAAAGGGGATAAGCTGGCCGAAGGGCTCGAGAGCCTCGGATTGCTCGTGGGAAGAGGAGGAAGCGGTAGAAGCCTTGGGCTTGGGGGCGGCCTTGGGAGCAGGGGCCGGCGCGGCAGCGGGAGCGGGAGCAGCGGCCTTGGGCTTGCTGTCTAGGGAGCCGATCTGGAGCTTGCCCTGGTACTTCTTGAGGATGCCCTCATTGTGGTACTTCCAGAACTGCTTGGAGGCGTCCTTGCCGCCAACTCTCTGGAGGATCTTCTTGCCGCCTGTTCCGATCCACACACAATGGTCAGTTTCTAGGCTACGTCCTCGGAGTAAACAAAGGAGCGAGGTTCGCGCATAAACATACCGGGATGGTCGTCAGCGAACTTGGTGACATCGTAGACATCGCCATCAATGACAATCCAGAGCGAGTCTGGTTTGCTATGCGACGAGACGTCGGCCTGGGTGAAGATCTTGGACATGATGGACGGGTATAGTGTATAGGGAATGGGTATATGGATGAACGAGTTCAAGAAGAAAGAGAAAGAATAAGAATGGAGAGAGACGGGAAAAGATCAAGAAAATAGAGACATGAACCAAGAGGGCCACGAGGGCAGCTTTGGAAGCACAATCGATCCATATGGGGGAGAGTGTGGGGGAGTTCACTTGTCTCCTTGTCCCTTGTCACATCCATTCCACTGGCAAGCATCCCCGGTTGTGCCACAGTATGGATTCGCGCAGCCAATGGAAAAGTTGTCCTGCACGGTAAATGCGCCGAAACGGACTTTCACATGTGATCATGCCACGGAAAGCTTCCACACCGACGTCTGGTGTACACTTCATACGTTAGATTGCTTTGAAAGTTGGAGCACATGCGCGTGAGATCTGATATTGGCAGGATGATAGGATGCTGTCTGTACTCTGGTTGGTGTCTGACATCCGACAAGAATGTAAACATTGTCTGAATTTGTGGCTGCATGCTGCCAGTGTCAGTCTGATCAACTGTGAGTCGAGAATCACCAAGTCGTCTCTGCGGATGGCACGGTCGAAAAATAGATAAAGCAGCCAACTTCAAGATCCAGAAGCCATTGTCAGCTCCGACTTTACGATTTTGGAGATCCAACAGTTCGTTGGCACTGTCCGTCCTCGACTGCCCGTCTCCTGCCCGTGGGGAAGACCCCTGCGCTATGCAATCCGACCCACCTCCGCCTTCGGTATCTCATTTGACATGAAACCTCACAGTTTGATATTCAAACTTTCAACTGTCTTTGGGCGGCTTTGCTCCAAACCTCCGGTACTTATCCAAAGGAGGACGATGACGACGGCGAGGCTGGCCGTTCTCGAAATGGACTGAAATACGGGAACATGTGACACCCCCCCCCCCCCCCCCCCCCCCAAATCACTTCCAGTTCCGTCTCGTTTGCAGTCTCGTTGAATGTCTCTGTTTCGGTCCCCACCGTGTCCACGTTAGGCTGATGTCATTTGTTCCAGTGGGACCAATTGGAACGGCTGGGATTACCACCCAGCAATGAGCCGAGGCAAGTGTGGTGCTACCACGATACGTGCCGCGGCCACAGCCTGCAGTGCACTGCACAAAGACCGAGCCGATGCTGGATGCACGTACAGTATGTGTACTATCATGGACTTTGTCATAACGAACTCCATGGGGCCGACTATTTGTGGAGTCGGAGATATATTAACATAACTTTCTCATTGCAGCAGTTGCTCCATGGTAGCGGTCTGTATGATCCCATCCGTATCCCATGATCATCAATCAATATATAGCTAGATGGCGGTAAATCTGTGAGGACTCAATCGTTCGCATGGCAAACGCAAAAAAACAAGTAGGTACACATTCCCGTAACCTTGGGTTCCACGGATTCCTCGACGTGCTAAATGATACACACATCTCCGTACCCTTTTCCCTTCCGCCTGTGTAAAACTCCCATAAACTCCTGAATACCTGAAACGCCAGTACCCATCAGAACACGGTAAGTAATCGGGCCACATCATGACATTCCCGCCCTAAGCACCACGAGGCTTCGCCTTAAGCTTCGCCTTTTCCTTTTTCTCCTCCTTGACCTTCTTCCTCTTCTGCTCCGCCTGCTCCTCCAGCTTGCGCTTATGCGCCTTCTTCTCCTCCTCCGTCTTGGGCAGTATCTTGAAGAAACCCTC